TTTTATGAGTAGTTTATGATGTAGGAAGAGTTGTAGGAGTAATTTTTGGTTTAACAGGAGTTGTAGGAGTAGTTTATGGCATAGGATAAGTTGTAGGAGTATTTTAAAGTGTAGGAGGAGTTGTTCGAGTAGTTTATTGTTTAATAAGCGTTGTAGGAGTAGTTTATAATGTAGGAAAAGTTGTAGGAGTAATTTTTGGTTTAGCAGGACTTGTAGGAGTAGTTTATGACATAGGATGAGTTGTAGGAGTATTTTATGGTGTAGTAGGAGTTGTACGAGTAGTTTATTGTTTAATAAGCGTTGTAGGAGTAGTTTATAATGTAGGAAGAGTTGTAGGAGTAATTTTTGGTTTAGCAGGAGTAGTTTATGGCATAGGATGAGTTGTAGGAGTTTTTTATGGTGTAGGATGAGTAGTACGAATAGTTTATGGTGTTAAAAGAAGAGTAGGTGTACTTTATGATGTAGGAATAGTTTATGGCATAGGAGGAGTAGGAGTAGTTTATGGTGGAGAAGGAGGAGTAGGAATTGTTAACGATGTAATATGTAGAGCAGAAGTAGGTAATGAGGTAAAAGGAGAAGTACGAGTAGGTGTACTTTATACTTTAGCATGAGTAATAGGAGTTGTTTATGGTATATGAGAATGTTTAGGAGTATGTTTATAGTGTAGGAGTAGAACTAGAATTGGTTGTTGGTGTAGGAGCTGAGGAGTAAAATTCAGTTCAGAAGTAGAAGGAATAGTATTGTGAAGAGGCTGATGAGGGCGTAGTTTATGGCGTTTACGTTGTGCATGTGTGCAAGTAGAGGCAAAAAAGGAAAACTTCAGTAAACTTATCTCAGGAATGGTTGGGTCAAAGCCCAAAAAAAAGACAAAATGGATCGTTCACGATATAATGCAAAGTTTAATCTTCATTTGTTTAATGAAGGCAATATTTATGCAGCTTAATTTGCTTTATTGTGCTATTGCAAAAAGTTCCAATTTGATTGTATTGTATAATCTAGTCTTGCTATCTAGGAATATTCATGAATGGAGGGGAAGAAAAGAGCTTTTGTCTGAAGGAACAGGGAAGGGAGGCGGTATGGAGAGAATGGGGGGGGGGGTGATGTCTCAGAATTAGACAACCAAAACATATCATAATTAATATCCTATCCCCCTGTCTTTCATACAATAAATGTCAAATTTAACAATGCATCCCCCCCCCTCAACCTTTCTTTTTGTGTCCCCTAAACCCAACCCCCAACCTCATTGTCCCCTCAGTTTTCCAAGTTCCAATATTGCTTTATTTTAAAGGTCAATCTTTTTCCAAATAGTTATGAAAAGTCTATTTTCTCTTCTGAGCAAAGTAACTTAATGGAAGTACTCACCAATAAAAATAAAAACACATAAATCACGAAAAAGATATAATTAAATTAACAACATTTTAATTTTAAGACGAGGTAAAGTTGTTTTTTATTTGTGTTCATGTCCGCACTAATTCCCTGCTTCCTGGAGGCTTTCCTCCTTCCCTCCTGCAGGCCCTCCTACTCCCCTCCTGCAGACCCTCCTGTAGACCCTCCTCATCCCCTCCTGCAGGCCCCCCTCATTCCCTCCTGCAGGCCCTCCTCATCCCCTCCTTGCTTAGAAGTAATTATATATTTGTTCTGTTTCCCTATCCCTCCCTCTATCCTTTATGGGTTATTAGATGCCATTATTAATAGTCATAATAATCATACAGCCATTACTCATACATATAGTACAGGGCCTACCGGACCATTAACAACCTAATATTTAAAACACGCAATGGCTGTCTTTATCTTTAATTCTTTACTTTACTTCTATTTGAGGGGCATGAAAGCAACGTATGTGAAAGAGTAATATTCCTATATTATAGATCACTTTTTACACCCCCCCTCCCCAAATTGAACAGGAACACAAAAAAAACATATTCTAATTTAATTAAATCTTGTTTAAAAGGGTTGGTAAAATATATTTACCCTTTTACTGTTTTTTTTTTCTGTATTCCCCTTCATATCCGGCCACCAATGGTCATTATTACGTTCGCAAGAGTAAGACCAGGAATATGAATCAATTGCTTACAAGAATACTTCTCTATGAATAAGGAGAAATAAAAGGTTCCACTTCAAAGTGCCACATCATCTTGGTCTTAGATTCACTAAGTCACAATTTTATACTTTTATAATTAAAAAGCTGTTTTTTCTTGGCAAAACTCTCATCGACTCGACGACTTTTACGTGTTTGGTTTCTTACTTTAATATTCAAGGGGTTTGAGAATTTGAACAGGAACAACCATCGTTTCCTTCATTTTTCAACATTTTTTGTAGATTGAAAATTGTGCCATATTGTAATAAATTATAAAACTTACGGATTATCTGGCGACACCAAAACCATGGAGGTTGCGTGAATATTTTATTAGCCAGCAAGGTTGCGTGACTATAACATAAACCATTGAGGTTTCGTGAGTATATGATATAAAACAAGAAAAAGATACATCCCTATTTGATTTNTAGCATAAATTTTAATTTAAAAAAATTTAAAACGTGTTGGTGTCCTTAAATTTTTCACAAAGGATGCACTTGTTCACTTTTATTTATTGTTTTTGTTTGGTAAAGACAAATTTTTAAATTATTATTTTCTTGTTGCTGAGCCCCGTATTCTAAAAATCCTTATATTTTCAACAAAAAAACGTGTAATATATCAAATCATAGATATAATATTTAACCCTGTATTTCGTATAATAAAGAGGATTTCACTATCAAGAATGGCAGGAGGACATTTTTCTAGGATTCTGCTCATTATATGGAACATTAAGTAGGATTATATAGAACTAGGGAATGGGTTAAGCTGAGGTGCACAGACATACTTTCTATACGAACACAAACACTGAACAATATTCTCTTTCCCATGGTTCCCCATAATCTTCATAATCTCTAATCACGTACATAATTTAAAGTGTAATTAAGTTCTCATTTCTTGTAATTTAATCTTGACAATAATTGTTTATTTTCAAGACATCTCAATTGGACAGGTTAAAACATTTCATTTACATCGAAAAAAAATCTTATAAATGAGAAAAATAAATTCCTAACATATTAGCAATATTCTCAACTTATCATGCATCACATGTTTCCTAAAACAAGAATCCAAGCCACAGTTAGTTTAAAACAAGCCAGTACACATAATTTCAATAAAATATAGATATACAGCGGTTGGGTTAAAGTAGAGAAGTTGTTTTCCTTTGTGACATGTTATATGTACTATCTTTGCTGTTTAAAAGCTTGATATAAATCAAAAATTGAAATCGAAAGCCGTCTTATTTGTATTGATATAAGCAACCATGACAGTACACGATAATATAAGAAGTAAACTTAAAAGAAAAAGCGTTTTTCTGAAGCCACAAATCCTTTATCAATTAAGTACAGATAACAAAATAGTTTAACTGTTCCTGCAGTTGAAGTAACTCATATCAAATTTTAGTGGAAAAGGGGGGAGGGAGAGGAATAAGGTTTCCATTTTTCCGGAAAAAAATTTCCATTTTGGAAATGGAATGATCCGGAAATTGGTTGCGTAAACCGGAATTCCGGGATAATTCCGGTTTACGTTACGTAAACCGGAAATTTTTCCGGTTTACGGAATGTAAACTGTAAAATTTCCAGTTTCCATTTCGTAAACCGGAAATTTTTCCGGTTTACATAACGTAAACCGGAAAATTTCAAGTTTCCATTTCTTAAACCGGAAATTTTTCCAGTTTACGTAACGTAAATCGGAAAATTTCCAGTTTCCATTTCGTAAACCGGAAATTTTTCCGGTTTACGTATCGTAAACCGGAAAATTTAAAGTTTCCATTTCTTAAACCGGAAATTTTTCCAGTTTACGTAACGTAAATCGGAAAATTTCCAGTTTCCATTTCGTAAACCGGAAAATTTTAACACAATATTAGACATAGAAAGCAATGTTAAAACATTAAGAGTTAGAACGTTTTAGTTTACATACATTAAATATGCATTTAGTTCTACAATTATATTCACACATATTTCACTATAGTTCATCATGACTATTTTACAGTTACAGCTTTCACTTTCCCCACAATATTTTTTGACAAATTAGTTTTTATTTTTCAAGAGGATCATCGGATAGGCTTATGCCCCCCCCCCTCAGGATGGGATGAAATGAACCATATAAATAAGAGTTTATAAAAACTAGGTTTTAAACTGGTGAATTAAAAAAATAATAAATTTAGACGTTTTTTCCCGCATAAATTTTTAACTAGTTTTAAACTTTCCCTTGGGCCATGTGAGTTGCCTCACAAATGTTGGGCTCGGTCGGTTCAGCTGTTTGGACGTTTACTGAATACAAAGGGACAAACAAACAGACGAGCAAAGTATATAAATAGAGTGAGAACCAGAAAACTCTGGAATAGGAGGACGACTTTTAGACTTAAATTATGACTCTGAATAATCCAATGAACATGAGACACGGCAATTACATAGTATATACTATACTACTGTATACGAACCAATTTAAAAGTGATTTTATAAGTTACTATTTAACCTATTTGCTTTGAAACAACATCAATTAGACTCAAGGATTGATATACATGTCGTCTTCCTTTCCTCAGTTTTCTGTAGATGAAATTATTTTGAGACATGGCAGTCAGGATTTATATTATTTCATGATAATTCACAGTACTATAACTTTAAATACAGCTACACCAGGCGCACATTCTATTATTCTGTACATAGTATTACTTACTGGTTTTATCTTTTACATAAGTTTAAGATGTCTTCAACGTTTTCCGGAACCTTTTTCCTGAAAATTTTGGAACAATTGTTCCGTAAACCGGAATTTTCCGGAACACTATTCCGTAACGTTCCGTAATTCCAGAACAACGTCCCGGAAATTTCCGGTTTACGGAAAAAAATCGTTCCGGAATTCCGGATTTCCGGAACCTTTTCCATAATGGAAATGGAAAAAAATTCCGAATCATTTCCGTACGTAAACCGTAACCCGGAATTCCGGTGGAAACCCTAGAGAGGAATTTAAAATTGACTGCAGAGTGCAAACTTGTTCTTTAAATCTATAATATTATCATTGAAATGGAAGCAATTTTGACTTCCACCTTTTTGATAAACACAACAAAAATACTTAAGTTTAGAGACATGTTAAAAACAAAGAAGTAATCATTTACCTGTAATAGCGTATATAATCTATCTAATTTATTTGGCTCTGGTTTGAACCCCCTAGACCAATAATCAGAGAAATTAAAAATCCAATTTCGTTTCTTACTTTTCAAGCAAAGGATGATGTGGAAGAAATTATTCAGTTTTCTAGTTGTATGTACTGGAAACTTACTGGCTGCCGCATCATACACAATGGCCAACCCTATATATCCTTCAGAGGTTAGTTCAAACTTCAAACCCATTTTTTTCATTCTTCCCTGTTTTACATTATTGCTGCATGAGCCTTTCTATACTGCCGTCAAAACTTTTAGCAAAAACATTTTTTTCCATATTCAAATGTCATGTCTGTTTGAATCAGCCACGTTAATGTGCGAAAATTATCTTACTCTATATGGTAATTAACACCCAGAATCAGGACACTAATTAGTCCATCAAAGTGATAATAATTAGCACTAAAAACAATACTTATTTTAATGGAGGGATTGTAGATTGTAAATGATTGTAATAAATATCATAACAAAGCCCATATTTATAAACCTGAACACACCTAGATAAATTACCTTGTAAATTGTAACCTAACTACGCTAGTAGATAACTACGTAACACCTGTATTGCGATTAAGCCTGACTACACTTATAAATAACTACGTAAAACTTGTGATTATGTTCATTAATGTAACCTGTACCATAGAACTCAAAATATACTTCAGTTGGAATAATACTCTGCTTTGATTACAGTGTTAGAGTAATTATATGCCTTATGTAGCAAAACGAGAGCGACCTGAACTTTGAGTCTTGAAAGATAGATATTAGATATAGGCTAGAACAGTTGCCTGACTGCCTCCAAGGAGAGCAAACCTATCCTATGTGGTCACAGAATTACAGCTGGAGAAGCAATGAGTTTAGTTACGCATCTTGTATCCTACAGGGGAGGCAAGAATTGTACATAGATTTAAACAAAACTTCAGCTTCTGCGTGGTGCACTGAAAGAAGGACTTTAACCCCTTGTGGGTATATAAGCCATACACAACAATACCGGTTTGTTACTCTACCAGCTAGATGTGAGGAAGATTTCTCTCAAAAGAGCTTTCAGGGCTCACAACTCCCCATTTTACTTAAGGAGTGCAGTTATGGGGTTTCCTTATTCCCCTAACTCAGAAAGAGTATAATAAAGAAGGACAACATGGAAAAATCCCCTATACCCTTCCTACTACAAACCTCCTTATCTCTATCCTACCTGCTTCACAACTCTATGTCTAAAGAACTATTTGGAAAGGCCTAAAAGTGTAAAAACAAAAAACAAGAAGCAGGAAGAAAAAATAAAATTGAAAAGAAAAAAAAGGGGAGGGGAAATCTCTTGACAGTCCCCCCCCCTCCACCGGGGAGGGGGGTGGATAAAGCATGCCCCCCCCCCTTTCCACCCCCAAGAAAATATCATGGAAAGTGTGTAGAAAAGTAGCTGCACAAGCAACATGTATTAACAGGATAGAAAACTGAAACTGAAAACATAGGAAAAACAAGATAAACAAGAAAAAGAAAATTTTGAACAGAAAATTAGAAGGGGATTTGAGCTTTACACTATCTATATATATTTTTTTTCACTGATAGCGAATGAAGACAAATACACAGGATGCCAGATATCCCATCCCCCCCCCTTCTATGTATTCCTATTTGAAATAAAGCATGCTGGAAAATGTCTGGAACAGCTGACTTGAGCAAAATATGAAAGGGTAGTGACCTTGCTCCTCTCACCCGAGAATTTAGAATATTTCCAAAATACAGGGTTCAGAAAAATAGTTCTTTTCTTGCAATTTGGCTAGCGTGCAGGGACATCCACAAAATGTATTTCTTTTTATTTTCAAAATTAGTCAAAGTATGATTGAAGAATGGACGAGAGAAGTATGATCAAGAAGAAAGAATGAAAAAAAAATATAGAAGTCTCAAATGTTTCCATCTGATATCATATAGAAATTAAAAAATATTGTAAAATTCAATTAAAATAAGTTATTAAAGTTAAAAATAGACATAGTCATATCCTGTTTAATATTGACTAAAGTATTATTGAGCAACCTGTAGTTTGTGATTGAGTTGTATCTTAATATACACTGATTAATTAGGACACTAATTGCTCTATCGGAGGATTGGTGATTAATAATCAGGAAACTAATTAATCTATCAGAGCGATGTTAATTTACACTTACAACTTTATCGGAAGAATGGACTCAGGACACCAATTGCTTTACAATTATTCGAAAAAGAGATTACAAATCAGAACGGACAACAATGCCTCCTCAGGAGTGGTACTGTAAACCACAGGGGGCACAAATTATTCCACCGAAAGGATACTAATTAGTTAATCTACTCGATTGATCTCCCAATTAAAATTATCCCTCCAGAATATGATGCCCACAGGATTTCGTAGAGGAATTACACCGATATGAAGGTCTGCACAGGATGGCGATCAATGCTTGTTCATGGGGATTCACAACACAAAAGTTCTTGACTCCAGCTGTAAGTTGCAATGCGGCTGCTATGAAATGCTTTATCTTGAATGTGTGATTTAAATTACACTGTCTTTAAACAGGCTTAAAGACAGCAATTTGGTTCTTTTCTTTCAGAAAACAGTGCTTAAAAAGGACGGGCAAAAACATACCATTTCATTTATAAAAAACCATAAGAATTAATTTCTAAAAAAATATCGAGCTATATTTTTTGTGTTGCTAATATTATGACCAACAAAATTATTGCAAAGAACTTGTGTCTTTGCTAAAAACTCAAATTTTCTCTTACCTATATCTTTGCAACATGAGCTGAAAACTTTAGAATGGTGGATATTGAGATTAATGCTTCATCATCTCTTTTTCTTAATATCGAGACTAACCTAATCTTGCACTTGTATCCTGAAAAGTGTATACAATTCAACCAATCAGGGTCGCATATATGAAGCTGATAGTTTGAAATATAAGATTTAAGATTAATATACAGAAACAGGAGGGACTATCTAATTTTAAAAAACTGGTTTTTGATTTTTCTCTACTATATCCAGGAAAGAACGGTTTAAGAAGAAAAGTGTGTCCATTGGATACTCTGATTAAGGATATCAATTCTAAAGTTTTCAGCTCTGATAATGTAAACCTGAGATATTTCATCTAGCAGAATTCATATTGTGAAATATCTAAGGGTTTGCAAAGATATATAGATTAAAAATCAGAGTTTGTGGCTAAGATACAATTTCCTTGTACTAACAATGTTTTTATGATTTATTTTTTCTATAATATTTATAAAATAAAATGATAAAAGGCATAGTTAATAATTTTAAATGTTCATCTGTTTTCTCCTTTCTCTATCTGCTCGTCCGCAGGTTCTCTTTTTCTTGCTTGCTCATGTATGGCACAGCTTTTGAAAGAATGTTTTTGCGGCATTATAAAATCACCTATTCATTTCATAGATTTTCCCCTCTTTGTTTTTTGTTTTTGTTTTGATTAATTGTAATTGCAGCCTAAGGTCTGCACATTCTGTCTACTTGCATGAGCTAGGTCACCACTCAAAGTACTTCAAGTTAGTCTCTATTTGCAGCAAGGGAGCAATAACTTCCCTGCCTTAAACTTCATTTTTACTCTTCAATACAAATGAGGATTGTTATTCCAATGAAAAAAATCAAGTGACGTACTTAGGATCCAACAGAGAAATGTCCTTAAGTCTCATTTTGCTGCTCCACAACTTGATGTCACAAGAACTATTTGGAGAGGCATTATAAGGTTGAAACAAGAAACAAGAAGAAAAAAGAAAATTGAACAGGAAAAATTAGAAGGGAGATCTCTGATTATAAGCTTCACACTATCAATTTATTCCATTAGGATAGAGACAGCATTAGAGATTGGGCTGTGAGACGTCCCCCCCCCCTCTCCATTTTTTTCACCCTAAGTAGAAGATAGAGAATATGAAGAATATTTGTTGCTGAGTAAACAATACAGAGCTCAGAAAATAAGGAACGCAAGATCCTCTCATCATAGTTCTACAGCTTGCAGCTTGGCAAAACTTCAAGGATGTCCCTAAATTTCTTTTTTTTCAAAATCATCCAAAATATATGATGAAAAATGTATGAACAAGAAGAAAAGGAAGAACAAGAGAATAAGAAATATCAAAATATTTGCATGATTAAAATGATATTGTTGAAAATTAAAAAAATATGAAAAAAAAGAGTGGAAATGAGGATAAGGGTTTGCAGGAGTGGCATATCATAAATGTTTTTAAAAAAAAACCAATCTATTTGTCCACATTTTATACTGTTTCCCAGCCCAGTGGAATTCCTTTGGTATTATTGCATTTTGTGTGCACTGCTACATGCAGAATGCAGAGTTGTACCTTTTTATCAGCTGTTGAGCAGGGCCTTTCCAGAAAGAGCTCCACACGCTAAGTGGAGTGGGCATAAAACCGGATTAGTATTATACATATTAGCTCTTTGTTATCCTATTTATTTGAATTAGTATTGTGACCCTAGTCAGAAGGATGGTTTTTTGATAAATTGTATATATGACAATGAGGGGAGAATAAACACCCCCATTGGCTCGTGTTTTCTCTATCACCAGTAAATATGCTATTTGTGGAACCAAGCCAAGCCAACTTGCTGATAGCGTCCCCATGTTAGGGATGGTGTGGGTTCATCGATCTGAACTCAGAAAATAGGGGCTGAGCCCGAAAGTTAAAAGAGTATCGTTAAACGAAACTCCTGAGTTTCCTTTTTGGGTCTTATAACATTTGTGTAGATTTTGATTAAGAGATTCGAAAAAAATGGAGAATATGAATAAACTAAATGAAATAATATTTCAAAACAATAATATTGATATTCACAAAACTGCCTAACCCCATGCATGAAACCCGAGTTCTAAAACTGGTTTTCACAATGATACCTTGTCTTAAGTTTTGGGCTCAGGAGGCTAGGCTTGAGGGGCAGCCGAGTACGATTTCTGACAGAGCACAGTGCAGCAGAGTTGTTTGTGATCATGCTGTTTCCTTCAATCGCTGTGTTGCTATAAACTATTTTATTTTATTTTCATTAATATGAATAAAGTAATTGTTTTGTGTTAATTGCGTTATATTTTGTAATCGTGAATCAAATTATTAGAAATAAGTATTTATTAAAATTGGATTTTATTCAAAGTTTTTAAGTACCCCAGCCATGAGTACTGTAGTTAAAAAAGTAGGTTAGCTAAGCATGAGCATTGAGCACTGAGCATGGGGTACAGGCCCCCACATGGTCTTTCCTCCCTATTATGTGTAGACACCTGTCTCAGTGCCCACTGCAAATAGTGCAAAGAGCTTGGTGAGCATAGCTCTGCTCTCCTTGGCTGTAGGAATGCAACTGCAATTTCCTTGTATTAAAGTAAGAGTTTTAACCATGGTTTAATTATTAATTATTAAGGGGCTTTCAAGAGGAGTCAGTGTGTCTAAAACCGGTGTTGTATTAGGTAATTTTTTGCATTATGTTGTAAAAGCTTTTAAGATGTTTGTTTAAAAAAATAATGTAACCTCTTCTTTCACTGTTACAGGTTCAGCATATGTCACAGGCTTAGTTATAACACCATTTTGTAGCAAATTAGTAAGCAATCAATATAAACATAAATTATCTTTTGAATAAACATATATCAGTTAACATTTCTAAAAGTTTCCTTTCAGTTAGACTAATATTTCAATGACTATTTCGTTCATTCTAGAAATTAGAAGGTTTTTTTCATCTTCTACATTGTCATTGATGTAAAGTACAATAACTAAATCAAAGCTTTATTGACTGTAAACTATAGAAGGAGAAGGATAAATTAATGCAACATTACTAGAATGACTTTGTAATTATATGTACAAGTATGATAAAAGAAAATTTATTCCATTACATATAATAAATTTTTAAAAATTGTCATTTTAAAAGCTCTTCAATAAGCAGAGTTATGATTGTAAACATAAAAGTTTTCATTCTTACCTGTAATTTGCTTTAATTTGACATGAATTGTTTAGAAAATATTATTTCATTTCATTAGACACAATAAAAAAGTAATCCATATTTAAATTAAGATATCCAACTTGGGTGCCAGGAAGGTTTACGCATTTGGATCTTTTATTGGAGGAATAGGAAATGTTCTGTTCGGGTAATTTAAAAATTATTAAAATTTTAACCTAATTTTTTCCAAAATCTTTCTCTGTTTTTTTAGCTTTTTAGATTATATATCAGGCTCGGCCGAATTCTTCTGGTTTTCCTTGATATTCAGATCTATAGGTTCCTTAGGGGAGACAGTTGTGGCAAATGCATCATATCCTTTAGGTGAGTTGGTATCTTTCTAATAAAACAGAAATTAAAAAAATACTTTTTCAGGGACAAAGTTATTTTCTGACAATGAAAGAGGCAAAGTTATTGTAAGTTATTCATTTACAAAAAAAAACATTCAAGAAATGTATTTTAAAGGGAGTGTTCGTGAAAAATGAAAGGGTTTATAGGCTTATGGTGAATAATTATCGATTGTGATCACTACTAATCTTACTTCTATTGGTTACGTCAATAAGGAGAAAATTGTTAAAAACGACTCTTACCGAAGAACATAGCGTTCATACAAATTCAGAAAGTTGCAATATACGACACAAAAAAATTAATTTAATTCCAAACAAATCATACTGATATATATATATAAAATCATCGATAATTTTTTAACACATTTGTATAAAGTTGTTTTTTGATTCACCGACAAAAGGTCAAATAACACAGGATCAAACGACAAAGGGTCAAACGACAAAGGGTCAAAAGTGCCACAAAGGGTCAAAGGACAAAAGGTCAAAATGATAAAAATATTTTTTGATTTGAATCATAGGAAACTCGCAACCCTCCTATCAATTTTGAACATGGATCTTATATGTCAGACATGGATATAATTGACCATGTGGCCGCAGCACTGGGCCCCCTAGCCTGTCCTAGCCACAGCACTCAGCCCAGAAAGTGTCTTACTAACCTAACCCGTGGTCGCAGTTCTCGGCCCCATAGCCTGACCTAGCCACAGAGCTCAACCCAGAAAGTGTCTTAACCTAACCTAACCCTAAATAATAATAAATAAATACTAACTGTAACAGATGTCAAAATTTAAACAAAATTTGCCCCTTTGTTGCAATTTTTGACCCTTTGTCATTTGACCCAGTGTCGTTTGACCCTTTGTCATTTGACCCTGTGTCATTTGACCCTTTGTTGGTGAACCCTGCTCTTGATGCTCTGAATGATTCCATGTGACAGAGACACCTAGCGGGCGGGGATAAATCGTCGTTTTAAGTGCATTGTATATAAAACAAATAAAAATTATTATGAAATATCACTTTATACGAATTCGTCAAAAAATTATTGAGAATTATAGGTTGTAATATCTGAGTGATTTGTTTGGAATTAATTTGACTTTTTTACGATCCAACTTTCTGAATTTATGCGTTTTTTTTTATCAATTTTCTCCATAAAAACGCGACGGTAGAATTAATATTAGTAGAAATCACCATCGATAGTTTTTTGCTGAAAGCCTATATTCCCTTTAATTTTTCGTGAATACTCCCTTTAATAAAGAAATTTGTGCACTCTTTACTTTGTTTAAATTGTTTCAAATTCTGCACCATATAATATAATATACTTTTTCATTGTGCATGCTTGGATAGGCTACTATGGACTGCTTCTATGGATTTGGAACAGCCATAGGACCGTCATTGGGAAGTTTTTTATTCAACATTGCTGGTGGGTTTACTTTACCTTTTTGGACTGTTGGAATAATCATGATCATGCTTGGCGGACTCCTTCTGCTCCAAGACTTTAATAATGAAATTGAAGGTGTTGGCTTAGTGTAAGTATATGTTCATATTAAGCAATCAAGACTTTAAAAGATATTAATTCACAGGGAGGTAGAAAAAACGCCTTTTTGAATTTTTTAATGTTTGTTTTATGGAAAAGTGGTGACAATTTACCTGTAAAAACTAACTATGCTATATGCAGTGGCAGTGGAACCTGTAAGTGGAAGGATTTAATCACATGTCCAGGAATGTTTGAATCTGTATTGGTACTAGTAGTATCAGCTCCGGCACAAAAATGGATTTCTTCCTCTCTTGAACCACATCTCAAAGATCTGGTTAGTTAAAGCGATGGTTTTTTACCTAATTTTGGAATAATATATCTATTGTTAGTATGGCATATCCACGGTAGATGTGGGACTGATAAATACGGCCCTTGCTATATCAGCAGCATTAGCAAATCCAATAGTAGGGATAATTCTTGACTTTGGGTTCTCATCATTAAATATGATCTTGGTTGGAAATTGTCTGACTATTATTGGTCTTATTGGAATAGGTAAGTTCACAAAATAAACAAATTGTATTTGGCACAATGAAATCTGCACTTTACTCGTTATCAGGACCAGTTCCAGGACTTGCTTTTCTTCAAACCATTCCTGTTGTATTGATCTCTTTGGCACTCATTGGGATTGGATTGTCCTGCATTTTCCTTGCTACTATTCTTAATATGATGGACTGTGCAGCAAAGACCGGGATTCAAAATTCAGAGAAAACTACAGTAATTTGAATAGATAGCATAATCAACAAATTATTTTGTTAAGTTTGCATGAAGTCTTTGCCAAAAAATTAAATTTTCTAATTTCTTTTTTTTTAAAAACCTTATGACGTAAACCTTTGATATCTTAAACATAGATCAATTGATTAGAACAAAGTTATTGTTTGAAATATCAATAAGGTCTACGAAATCATGGGATTCAAAAATTAAAGTTTATTGAAGCCAAGGCTGATTTTTAGGTTTGGGGTTACATCAGCAATCAATTAAAGAAAATTTAAAAAGAAAGAAAAAGATTGCCAACGTTTACAAAAATAATCGAATAAATCATTTGACAATTGATCCTTGGATCCAAACTAGATTCGAGTTTTTTAAATTTATAATTCTCTTCCATTGGCATTTTATTGTTAATGCCATTAGATCTATTATTAAAAGATATTTAAATGTTTCAGAGTATGATTACGAGCTTATGGCTTCAAAGTAACTATATTGGGGCTTTTCTATCTTCTCTTACTGGTGGAGTTACTTATGATCTAATTGGATTCTCATGGAGTTGTACTGTACTAGCAACCATTATTACATTCGTTGTAAGTATATACCATTGTAGCTACTTAAACTGTGCATTATTGAATTGAATGAGTATAAGCATTTTTAAACATATTTAAGTTTTCTGTGACTGTAAATTAAATTGGATTCTACCAGGGGTTTTTCATAACAAAGGGTCTCTATAAATAAGCAAGACAATAAGTTTTACTCCCTATTCATACTAAAAGTCAACTTTTTAGGCCTTTGGAACATTCATTAGTTCAATGTTTACCAGCAGAAGATTCAGTTCCTATGAACAAATTTGATCGTGAGCAATAGCACTACTGTATTCTCAGTTTTGAAACCTGTAAAATCTTGGCTTCGCAAGGATGTCAAAACAAAAAAGTTTTTCTTTCTTTTTCAAAATCAGCCAACATATGGTCAATAATGCAAAACATGAACAATAAAAATGGAGATTTAAAGAACAAAAGAGACATAAAAACCAGCAGCTGCCATCATATGATTATTTTAACAATTTTGTAATAAAATTTGTTAAAACCAATATTCAAAAAATAAATGTAGAAAAAGCTTAGTCCATTTTTTCAAATATTCTATTATGTGATTACTTTCAGTATCTTTAGCACTATGTACCTATTTTAAACAATTTACTTAAACAACCCCTCACAATAAGCTTGTTAAAAAATATTCTTTAGATTTTCATCACAGCGTTAGATAATGAGACATGATTTAGTATTTAGGCGGTTTTAAATTCTGCTAGTGTAATCAAGTTAAAACTTGCCTGAGCCGATAATTAACAGAAATAATTTAGGCCTTATTTCAATTTAGATCTTAAAGTAAGATGTTGTCAGAGATCACAAAAAATTGAGTGTTTTATTTTAGAGCTAAGGTTTGATCTTTAGAGCCTTCATGATTTTCTTACTAGATCTAATTTTACAAGTATTTTTGTAATGTAACAACGTGTGATTTTGTTGATCTTTTACGATCAGCGATTCAAGGATTTTTTAGATCGCTGAGATCATAGCTACCTAGGGGTATCATGCCCCCCCCCCTTTTACCATTCGGTTGGACTTTTGAATCCTATTTTGAATCTTAACGGATTTAGTTGAGTTTGCATGTGGATTCTATAAATAACCCAAGCCAAGCTGAAAGTTCCGTCATTCCAGAGGCCCGGGTGCCGGGGGGGACAGTAGGCCAGCTCCCAGGGAACTAGGGTTAAACCCTAGCCGAGGGTGGAGCAAAATCAAGGGAAAAGAATCAGTTGAAGACCAGCTCCCTTTAATAGAGGTTCCCTTGAAGATTCCCCATCACTCTGAAACAACTTCAATTCATAATATTTGATTCGTATAGTATCATCCTTTTAGTTTTTGTATCTTTGTAAATAATAAACTGTAAGAAAAACCGACTCGTTGAATATTAATAATACGAGTGATTGCCTTGATTCATTTTTCTTTCATATGTAATAGTAATCTGAGGTGGAGTGCTAGATGGAACAGAAATAATTTTTTTTTTGAATAAAACAAGTAATTTTAGCTTATATTTATTTGATTTTTAAATTGTGCAATTCAAATTTTGATAATTGTATAGTAACATTCTAAAAGTAACATATTCTGTTCCCTCACGACTATGATAAAAAAGAATTTTTTATAAAATAGAAGAAAAAAATGGACAAAATTCAAAATTTATTTACAAAGGTAAAATTCTACATTGTGTTATTGTATGACTTCTCCTGTCTCATCAGCTCAATTACAAGTTATATATAAACTAGCTTGTTTATACTAATATAAATACAAATCAAATAAATTAACAGTATTAAGAAATTTTTGGGAATATTTAACATTTTTTTAAAATATCCCCAAAGATCTGAACTAAAATTATTAAAACATACTCTGGTTTTATGTTCCTGTTTTAATTCCATACTAGCCTTAACGATGATACAGATCAATTTTTTATTATAGTTTTTGTCTTAATTTAACAAATTATTGAGGATTATAGGTTGCTCATGTGTTTAAATTACATTTCTGAAAAAAAATTTTTTTAAATATTTCAAAATTTGCGAAAAAATTTGATTTTAAAACCAGTTCAAATTTACGTCCAAAAAAGAAAGTTCCTTATTATATTTTTAAGTACTATTTTTAGATTAGACGTAGTAAGACCTTTTTGATCAGCTAACTAAAGATGAGCACCGGTCCCTACCCTGAATCAACTCCACGAGTCATTAACAGTGTACTGTAGAATGAGCTCCAAGTGTAGAATGTCTGCGTTAAATAACTCGAGGACCTACCTCTCGACCCACTCAAACTCTGGTGTATGCTGGGTAACATATAGGGTTGTTAATCGTTTTTGTAAACGATCGTTGAACGATCGTTAAACGATCGTTTTTTGTTTCGTTTTCAAAAACGATCGTTTCGTTTTCAGAAAAAAACGATCGTTTTTAAAAACGACCCACTCGTTTTGAACTTTTAGAAAACGAATAGCGATTGTTTTTGAAAACGATCGTTTTTTTAAAACAATTTGCGATCGTTTTTTATACGATTGTATTTAAAAAAACAATCGTTTTTGAATTTTTTTATTAACAATTATGTTAAGGATCGTTAACGAAGGGTCGTCGTTAACGATTGTTAACGAAGGGTCGTCGTTAACGATCGTTAACGAAAGGTCGTCGTTAACGATCGTTAACGAAGGGTTGTCGTTAACGATCGTTAATGAAACGACGAACTTTATCAAAACGGTTAATTTTGGAAAAAAAATTACATGCAACTTTATTGAATGTTGTCTTACATGAAGTTTAACAGTTGTGGGGGAGTTAAAACTCCTTGATATTTTCTTAAAAACTGCTCAATGATAAGTACAGATGCCCTTCAGGTAGGTTTCCTCTCTTTGTCAACGATCGTTAACGAAGGGGTCGTCGTTATCGATCGTTAACGAAGGGTCGTCGTTAACGATCGTTAACAAAAGGTCGTCGTTAACGATCGTTAACGAAGGGTTGTCGTTAACGATCGTTAACGAAACGACGAACTTTATCAAAACGGTTGTTTTTGGAAAAAAATTACATGCAACTTTATTGAATGTCGTCTTACATGAAGTTTAACAGTTGTGGGGGAGTTAAAACTCCTTGATATTTTCTTAAAAACTACTCAATGATAAGTACAGATTAACGATCGTTAACGATCGTTAACGAAGGGTCGTCGTTAACGATCGTTAACGAAGGGTCGTCGTTAACAATCGTTAACGAAGGTCTGTCGTTAATGATCGTTAACAAAACGACAAATTTTATAAAAACGATTGTTTTGAAAAACGATCGTTTTTAAAAACGAGCGTTTTGAAAAACGATCGTTTCAAAAACGACCATTTTTAAAAAACGAACTTTTTAAAAAACGATCGTTTTTAAAAACGATAGTTTCGTTTTCGATTTTTCGTCGTCGTTATCATAACGAAACGATCGTTTTTTCTGAAAAATGAAAACGTTAACATCCCTAGTAACATATACGCTACGCTACAGGACCAACAACTTCTTGAAACTCCATCGACCTCTTTCAGACCTCAAATCGGTCAAACGAGCCAATGTGCGCGGTTAATTTTAAATGTTAATCTCATATATATATCAGTGCATTTTGATTACCTTTTTAACCCGGGATTACTCAACCTGATCGTTCCATCGAGAATTTTACAAACTTCCAACCTCGTTAATACAATCCTGACTAGCGTTCATATTAACTGAGATGGAATTTAAAGAATTTGAGCTGTGGTTTAAATCTGCCAAAACCTGATTTCAATTAAGCGCCAGCTTAAATCTACAATTACCTAAAAGTTGTATAATTCATAGGTTAAACTATGTAAAACTATGCAAAACGTCTCTGTTCATTGGATTAGCAAACACAATGCAAAATAAAATTATATCAATATTTTAATTTTTATCGAATGTTTAAAAAATGAATATAGCTTTCATTCCAAGTGCAACTGTTGTCAAACTAAAGTGTATCCCTTGATCCTTATTAACTATACAAAATGCTATAATATTATAGCATATCATTACATATCTCAAACATAATTAACTGTAATACTAGCTATGAAAGTATAGCCAATTTATATTGTAAAATATTGTTAACTCTTGAAACATCACAAGTAAAAGTTTGTGTAACTAACTATGTTTACGAAAATAAAAATATTTTGTTTTAAAAAAGAACTTTTCCTTCATCTTCACTGACTTATTCCAATTTGAATTTCCTAAACCCAGTTCCCAGACTGCTTGAAAAGTGTTTGTGTTTCCTGAATATTTTATTAAGAATTCTAATCATTGCTTCACAAGACAAAACATAAAATACAACATCTGCTTATTGTGAAAGGATGGCCTGGATAACACTTGTCATTACAACATTAGAATTATTGTGGCAATCCTCGTCAAAAGTTGAGTATTCAATATTCATTCTGACTTCAGATTTTTGAGTTTACCTCAGTTCTTGGTGAACTCGATTTGATTGGATTTTGTGTTTCACCCTCAAGAGTCAGACGTCTACAACAGTCTACAGTTGTAGGTTATGAAAGAAGAATAAACATGTCTTCATAGTTAATGATGCTGCTCAAACTTCACGTATATTTTTAGTAAAGTTTGTATTTTATTTAGCCTTTTTGAATTTTTTTATTGGCTGCATCCTTTTCTGTAAAGAACCAATATTTAGGAAGATACGAAACCAGGACACACAATTTGTTCTGGTAAATTAGATTCCCTCAAAACTCCGGATCTTTATTATAAAACTTGACTTAGCTAGGGTTTCTTAAATTCTTTTAACTTCGGGATGCTCAGGTTTTAGAGTCAGCTTATTAATGGGTTTTAGAGTCAGCTTATTAATGGGGATTGGAGTCAGTTTATTAATGGGTTTTGGGAGTCAGTTTATTAATGGGTTTTGGAGTCAGTTTATTAATGGGTGTTGGAGTCAGTTTATTAATGGGTNGAACCCGTGTCAAGTAAGACATTTTGTAATATCTCTTTCAATATTAATAGCAGCCGGTTCTATTTTTGAACGTAGACTCATATAATTTGTTAGGAGCAGGATATGAAGTCAGATTGTCGATATCTCTTTCCGGAGTCTTGGAACCTCTGAAAAGTGACCTCCGTCGGCTCCGATTTTTTATCTCCGGCCTCGTTGGACATAAATAGCCAATTGGGTATTGGAGTCAGTTTATTAATGGTGTTGGAGTCAGTTTATTAATGGGTGGTGGAGTCAGTTTATTTATGGGTGTTGGAGTCAGGTTATTAATGGTTTTCGGAGTCAGTTTATTAATGGGTTTTGGAGTCAGTTTATTAATGGGTGGTGGATTCAGGTTATTAATGGGTTTAGGAGTCAGTTTATTAATGAGTGTTGAATTTTGTTGAGTCAGTTGCTAGGCATGAGCTGGGAGCTGGGAGCTGCCGACAATAGCATTGTTGATCAGGATGTTTTTTCGAGCAAACTCTGTCCTCTTAACAGAATTGCATCCTGGGTTCTATTTACTCTTGTAGTAAAAACACCCCATACCCAGTAGGGCTGGGCTTTTTCCTGGTGGAACAATCGTTCTTTCCCAAGAACGAATGGAACAATCAAGAATGATCCCATCGTTCCGAAATTAAACGAACGCTTAGAATGAGTTCTTAAAAATATTGGAACGATTTGTAAAAGAACGGAATGTAACGGAATGGGAATTGCTTGAAAAGAACGGTTAAAATCATTGATGTGTTCTTATTATCAAGAACGCAATCTAAGTTGGGAACGCATTTTAAATCATGAATGTGTTTCCCCTCGCCCCCGCTCTCACAAAATTTTAAATTATCTAATCTTATTCTTTTAACCCTAAATTTAAAATATATAATTTAAAGTATTATTTACGGCCGTGAGAAACTTTTTATTTTAAAATCGTATTTATTTTTACTTTTTAACCAACTCTTTTCTATTAAACTTTTGTCGTGGGAACAGAATGAGGGATGGAAACGTTCTTTGACTAAGAATGAAATGGGTGGTATGGAACCGTTCTTTAAATAAGAACGCCAATAACGAAACGGAATGGAAAGACCGTTCTTATACTCAGAACAGAACGGAACGAGAACAGAACTATTAAAAAAGGAACGAGAACAGAACGATTTAGCTGAAGGCCCTCGTTCTAGAACGGAACGATTTCAAAAAAGTCGGAACGTGCCCAGCCCTAATACCCAGAGCATTTAACTTAGTTGCACAAACTCTCCACTAAAACACACTATATCTGCAGTACGCAACGTAAGCTTAGATTAAGTGTACCACTCAACCTTAGAATCATTCAGCTACAACTCAAACATCCTTAAAATTGAACTATCTGGTACATTGGCACGACCAATTTGAACATTACTTAATGTTAGTTCCAGGTTATCAAGGTTCGGTTTAAAGTTCAGTAGTTCTAGATTTCAAGTATGAATAAAAAAGCTCTGAAAGATTTACTTTTTAAAATGTGATTTGAGGCCCCCCATGTGCAGGGTAATTCAGATCATGAGTTTATTTTTATTTATAATAAAGTGCATCGAAAGCTGCATTTTTTAATAAAAGCAAGTCATTTAGTGTTAAACTGCATCAATGTCAAGGGCATATAACAAAACAAGACATTATTATAATTGTTAAGCAGTATTAAATCATAGCATTCATTAGTGTGTTCTTCTGGAAAAAATCTTTGTGTTGGTTTTAATATTTGTCCTCTATGTTTGTGTTGGTTTTAATATTCTTATTAATTGCTGTAAATGGTTTTATCTCTGACTTATTACTGATGATAAACTGTAGTTAATAAGGGAAACATGTTAACAATGAAATGATTATTTTAAAATATTCTTTACATAATTGTTCAGAAGGTAAAACATGTTTCTTCCTAAAACGCGTAAGAAGATGCACCACTTATTTTTTATCTTTGTTTTTTAAATGTGGATCTAGTTCAATATTTGTTGCAATATTTTCTCGCAGATTTGTAATATAAACAATAACATCACAATGATTGAGTGATAAATAGAATAAAATGGAGTTTAAGATTATATTCAACTTCTTATCTGTGTGTACTGGAAACTTTTTGGCAGCTGCATCATATACAATAGCTAATCCTATTTATCCTTCGGAGGTAAAATCAAAGCATGTAGAATCGTCATACAAATTGTTGGTAAAGGAATGGCATGTAATAATGAATAACTTTAAGCCCTTAGCTAGTCAAATGTAGGGTTTTAAGATAAATCCAATTGCACAAAAAATCTAACCTTTTAGGGTTGCCCCAAGTACCTTAGGTAAAATATTTATAAAGAGAACCAAATATTTGGTGTACATACTAAAAAGATAACTGAGTGTCTTAGTTTTGCCCTGTATAACTATGTAAATTCTCATCTAATAATTGTTTAATAATTGTCATTGGCAGACATGAAGTGTATTTCTTCAATGCTCTAAAGATGGTCGGATATCACAGAAAATAAGCATTGAAAATATTATCTTGAGCATAAAACGATCAACAATGATCAAAGATCATGCTTTTTCTTTTACGATTTGCCAATTATTTAGTGAAATATGTAAGCTAAGCATTACTGCATGAGTGCAAAACATACCAGCCTTACTACAGAATCCGACCCTTTGTTTTAATTCTTCAGTTTAGATCTTTAAATGGTAAATTATAATCAATTAATAAAAAAACAGGATTACGGAATTATTATATGAGTATTTGTAAAAGAAGACAGGGGCAAAACCATGATATTCAATTATCTTTTAATGCTTTACACCAAATAATTTGTTTTCTTCATAAATCTGTTACCTAAGTTACCTGGAAGAACCCTGAAAGGTTAGATTTGTTGACAATTAAATTTATCTTAAAAACCAACATTTGACTAGTGATACCTGAAAGTTTAAGCTGCATGTCAAATTACTTTAAACTTAATTAAAAGTGACCCTCCATGGAAAGGCGTATCATCAAGAAAAGAAAACCATGTGTGTTTATCTTTAAAATGGATTTCAAATTGCGGAACAATTTCAGTGAGAGCGTACAGTGTGAACTCAACACAGCTGAAGTTACATATATTTCTAAAAAAATTCTAAATATTCTATGTTAATCTGGGGTTTAAAAAGTTTAACGTAAATATTCATTTCTGTGACTTCTAGAATGTAAATAACAATATTACTTTATATTAAAACAGCTAGCAAACAATGTTTACCAATAAAAATGAAGATGTCCGTCATACTTGATTAGTCAAAGGTTTAAAGGTAACTGGAGAATGTTTCAAATGGGTTTAAATTTTAATTGATTTGATTTTTTTATGAAGTGAATGCAGAAGAACAAGAAATATAGAAAATTGTAAAAAAAATTTAAAATTTAAAAAGAAAAATGTAATAAAACTTAAAGAATGAACTCTGTTTTATTGCAATAGAATATAATTTTATATATTTCGTTTTTACACATATTATTCAACAAACAGTTCTATATGCACCATGTTTGTGTGTTAACCAATTTGAAAATATAGGCCCTTTTGCGGGGAGTTAGTGTATCAGAAACAGGAATCGTGCTGGGTAGGTCACATACATTACTATAGAAAGAGTTTTAATATTAAATGAAAAATTATTTAAATAGATATTAAAATATTCAGGTTCTGCATATTTCACGGCTTTCTTGATCACACCGTTTTGCTGTCAACTGGTAAAATTGAATGTAATCATTATTTTATAGTATATTAAACTTGAACAATATTTCTTTCCTTGAGTAATATTTTATGCATTCTAAATTGAAGATATTTAGTTATCATAGGCTGGTAGGCGATTATATCAATAACATAACGACAAATTTTTACTCAAGTTTTAATTCTTAACAAGCTTTTTCGAATCACAATTTTACAAATAAATAACAAGAAGCTTTTTTAATTGACTTTTCTTAGATCATCTTTTAAATTTTTAAATCTTATGAAATCTTCTTTATAAAAACCTGACCGTTGTGATACTAATTATCGCTATTTCAAACAAAAGCCTGTGCTAAAAACAAAGAAATTTTTGTTTTAACCCTATACATACAATACTCAAATATTAGGTCTCCTAGATTTAATAAATTGTACAAAAAATCTGATTATTTTATATTTTTCCTTGACCAAATATTAAGAAATAAATCTAATGTGTACATCCAAGAAAAAGAATTACATAAGCAAAAATTGGCTTGGTTTGTAGGTTATTTTGCTTTATGTGCAAATAGAAATATGTTAAATTATCTTAAAGCCATGATAAACAAATTTACCATCTTGATCAGCATATATCTTTATTGGTTTTTGAATAAGAGGCAAAGATAAAAATTATTTTTCCTATTTTTAGCCTGAAAAGACCATAATCTTAACAATTATGGGTGGATTTTGTAGAAAATAGTAAATACCCAACAGCACCATTTACTTAACGAATTACCAAATCTGTTTATTATGATTATTAGATAATCTTTAGATGTTTTGAAAACTCTATCTCTAAATCTGACCATGGGAGAAACTTAAATGGGCTTTTTACATATATTTCTTTATGTGCATAGAGCTAAATAACCTAAAAACCAAGCCAATTTTTGCTCTTGAATTTTTTTACTTGGATGGTCTCATTAGATTTGGTTCTTTATGTGAATTAATCAATATTTGGTCAAGGAAAAGAATAAAATGATCAGATTTGTTGTACAATTTGAAAAATCCAAAAGACCATGTAATATTTGAGCAGTGATAAGTATTTAAGATTTCTAAGTGGAGTGCAGAGAAAGTGTATGCACTTGGATCTATAGTTGCAGGAGCAGGAAACATTTCATTCGGGTAGTCAACATAATTAACTGCTTTAAATCAATCAATTTTTAAAGAACCCGTGTCAAGTAAAACATTTTGTAATATCTCTTTCAATATTAATAGCAGTCGGTTCTATTTTTGAATGTAGACTCATATAATTTGTTAGAAGCAGGATATGAAGTCAGATTGTCGATATCTCTTTCCGGAGTCTTGGAACCTCTGAAAAGTGACCTCCATCGGCTCCGATTTTTTATCTTCGGCCTCGTTGGACATAAATAGCCCATTTTTTAAATATATACTCCCAATGACCCCTAAAATACACAAAAAAAAGATTATTCTTTTTTCATCAAGTTTTTGATGTCAAAACAGGGTGTCAAAAATTGCGTTTTTTTATTTTTTTTTAAATCGCAAAAAATGACAAGTTCTGATAAAAAATATCGGAGTAAAAGAAAAGATAAGATATTATTTATATTATTATCTAACACATTGATGAAAAAAAAATTTCAAAAAATTAATTTTTTTGTGTTTATATATTTTTTTTACAAATCACCCTTTTTAGGCATTCTCCTCCCTTTTATAGATGGTGGCTGGTTCTAATTTTAGTTATATAATTACCTAGGAGCAGGAAATGAAGTCAGATCACCAATATCTCTTTCCGGAGTCTTGGAACCTCTGAAAAAAGACCTCCGTCTGCTCCAATTTTGTCTCTCCGGCCTCGTTGGACATAAATAGCCAATTTAAAAAAAAAATACTCCCAATAGCCCTTAAAATGAATGAAAAATAAAATTCCAAGTTTTTGATATTAAGAACAGGGTGTCAAAAAGTGTTTTTTTTTCGAAACATTTATAAATGAAGAAATCTACTTTTTACATTATATTTTCCTTCCTTTTATAGATGGTGGCCGGTTCTAATTACCTAGGAGCAGGATATGAAATCAGATTACGGATATCTCTTCACGGAGACGTGAAACCTCTGTGGACTGACAATTTATAAATGTAGAAGACAGATTATTTAAGTTTTTTTTGTCTATGTCTTTCATAGATAAATAATATGAAACATTTTAGGAAAATAAAAAGAGTAAACAATATTTATCTAAACCATTAGTGAGGCAAATATAATTTCCATAAAATGACTTGTGAACTTCAGGGTGTTAATTATTTTACTAATCTTTTTTCTTCGTTGTCTTACTTTATAGAAGGGTGGCTAACTATTGTTCTTGTTCTACTGATCACATATCCCGAGAGAAAGTTTTATATCAGGTAAAAACCATGTGACCTTACAAAGTTATGTACTGTACAATAGTACTGCAATTGTATGCATGTTTACAATTAAAAACCGGGTTTTTACTATTTTTTTTATTGTAATCAAAGAAAGGGGATTACATGTTTTTTAGTCATGGAGTGTGAAACATGTAAAAAGACTTTTACACGGAAAGCTAATTTAAGACGAATTAAAGAGAAATGTAAAGTGGTTTTTAAATAAGAAGAATGTGATTTGAAACCTTGTAAAATAACAGCTATAAGTGACATGGGAAGATCAGGGGAAATATGTTTATCATCCGGGTTATTAATCAATCAATATATCAACTGGGTTATCAATCAACTAATCGGTTTATCAGCCATCAAGTTTATCATCAAGTTATTGATCATCCGGTTTTTCGATCAATCATCTGGTTTGTTAATCCATCATCGAATTTATCAATCAACCATCCGGTTTATCAATAAATGACCTAGATAATCAATACACCATCTAGTTAGTAATCAATCCTTCGGTTTATCGATCAATCATCTGGGTTTTTAATATATCAACTGGTTTATCAATCAATCAATTGGATTAAAATCCTGGAAAATAGTTGGATTTATTTTTTGGGGAAAGCCGCTAATTCGAAAAGAAAAATTCGCCAAAATTAGAAATTATTTAAAATGGCCGACTTTCAGAGCAACAGTTAAAAAGGCTAAAATTATTTTAAAAGCCTCGTTTATCATATTTTGTAAATCCATATTCTAGATTTCTTTATGAAAGCTCACCAGGCCACTCTAAGAAATGAATGAAGCTCAAAAGTCTATGACTCCTAGATGCAGGAGTATAACCACAGGTTTGTAGTCCAGCTTTAATATTCAACTAAGATATAACATTTAAAATATGAGAAGAGTATATCCAAAAAAAATGTTTACTTTTACTTTCAAGATCAATTCATGTAATAATATTTTGAGGCCATTATTCTTTTGGGAATTTTATGTTCCTTTGAACATTTCTTCAAGGGATATTTTATAAATATATATTTTTTGTCATTCTTTAACTACTCATTTAGGAATCCGGCCGCTCCACATAATTTGAAGCTAGTAGTTCTGGAATGGGATTCGTCCATCATTAAAACGATGAGCAGTGCGGATGTACATCTTCACAGAGGTTTCAAGTCTCCGAGAAGAGATATCCGTAATCTGATTTTATATCCTGCTCCTAGGTAATTAGAACCGGCCACCATCTATAAAAGGAAGGAAAATATAATGTAAAAAGTTGATTTCTTCACTTTTAAACATATCGAAAAAAAACACTTTTTGACACCCTGTTTTAACATCAAAAACTTGAATATTTTTTTTTCATTCATTTTATGGGCTATTGGGAGTATTTTTTTAAATTGGCTATTTAGTCTAACAAGACCGGAGATACAAAATTGGAGCCAACGGAGGTCATTTTTTAGAGGTTCAAAATCTCCGGAAAGAGATATTGTTAATCTGACTTCATATCCTGCCCCTAGGTAATTATATAACATTATTTTTAAAATTAGAACCAGTCACCATTTATAAAAGGGAGGAGAATGCCAAAAAAAGAGTGATTTGTAAAAAAAAAAAATATAAACACCCCGTAGCCCACGAAAAAATTAATTTTTTGAAATTTTTTTTTCATCAATGTGTTAGATAATAATATAAATAATATTTTATCTTTTCTTTTACTCCGATATTTTTTATCAGAACTTGTCATTTTTTGCGATTAAAAAAAAAAAAATGCAATTTTTGACACCCTGTTTTGACATCAAAACTTGATAAAAAAAGAATAATCTTTTTTTTGTGTATTTTAGGGGTCATTGGGAGTACATATTTAAAAAATGGGCTATTTATGTCCAACGAGGCCGGAGATAAAAAATCGGAGCTGACGGAGGTCACTTTTCAGAGGTTCCAAGACTCCAGAAAGAGATATCGACAATCTGACTTCATATCCTGCTTCTAACAAACTATATGAGTCTACATTCAAAAATAGAACCGGCTGCTGTTAATATTGAAAGAGATATTACAAAATGTCTTACTTGACACGGGTTCTTTGTAAATATAAAGAATGCTTATTTCTTTAACAACCACAAAAATAGTAGAATGACACATTTGCTGTTTCTTATCAGTTAAATATAAAGTAGTATTAAGGAATATTATTATATTATAAATATAAAAAAATACTTTAAGAAGAACAAAAATAATAGAATGAAACATTTTTTGTTCCTTATCAGTTAATCATGAAATAAGAAAAGTATGTATGTATGGAACCATTTACATAGATAAGCAATGGGCAGATTTTTGGGAACTAATAATTTGGTAACCAACATTTTGGTAACTAACAATTTGGTAACTAATAATTTGGTAACTAAAAGTTTGGTAATCTAACAATTTGGCAACCCGACAATTTGGTAACTAACAATTTGGTAACCAACAATTTAGTAACTTGACAATTTGGTAACATTACAATTTGGTAGCCGACAATTTGGTAACCAACAATTTGGTAACCAAAAATTTGGTAACTGACAATTTGGTAACTAACAATTTGTACATTTGAAACATAAGTTTCACAATCATTGTTTGTAAATTTATTTTCTGTGGACTATTTTTTTATTAAACAAACGTTGTTTTCCACTTTTCTGTTTTTGAAAATTGTTGTCCTCTTTTTCCACTTTTCTCTGCAGACCACTGTATTTGTTTAACAAAGGTTGTCTACGTATTTCTCTTTTTTCTGCTGACCTTTGTACTTTTTAGTATAATAAATATGACCGCAGCGGTTGGCCAAAACTTATCCTAGCCGCAGGGATAGGCCCAGAAAAAGACTTAACCTAACCTAACCTCACATATCAGATATCATTGTATTATTTTCTTAAATAAGGCCGCAGTGCTCGGCCCTCTATCCTGTCCTAGCTGTAGCGTTTGTCCCAGAAATCGTCTTAACCTAACCTAACCAAATTGCAAGGATACCAAATTGTCAAGTTATCAAATTGTTAGTTACCAAATTGTCAGGTTACCAAATTGTCCAGTTACCAAATTGTTAGTTACCAAATTGTCAGGTTACCAAATTATTAGCTACCAAATTATTAAATTAACAAATTTTCAAGTTACCATATTGTTAGTTACCAAATTGTAAGTTACCAAATTGTCAAGTTACTAAATTATTAGTAACCAAATTGTTAGCTACCAAAATGTTAGTTACCAAAAATCCGCCTATCAGAAAAGCATATGTTTAGACTTCTGGACTACATTCACGGGCCTGTAGAGTTCTTTTGGTTATCTCTAATATTCCGAACAATAAGCTCCTTAGGAGAGGCAGTTGTACTGAATACATCATATCCCTTAAGTATGATTTTGCTAACTTTCAATTTTTGATTTAGGTTTTCTAAAATAAATACAAATATATGATGCATTCAGGTGCTTATCAATTTTCGAGCAATCACAGAGGAAAAGTCATGGTAAGATTTAAATATTTATAAGAAAAGATTTGACGGTAGATTTTGAATTTTTAAAAATAAAAACGGCTGGCCCAATCCTTATGAACCTGTGCAAGTTTCCCATTTCATTGATTATCAAATTTAAATCAATCAAAAAAATCTTTTTAAAATTTTGTGTTCCATCATTTAGTTTGCCTTGCTGGAGCATCTGTTTTTTAAATTGTTATAATAAATAATATCCTGGCCCATATATCATTCATAATGGACATTCAACCTGTCAACAGAATTATGATAAGAAATGACAATATACAAAAATCTTATGTATGTAGCATTTTCTGTTGTAATGCTTATCACAATCTTTATTATCTATGTTATCAATATATGTCTTATCAATGTTGCTCTGACCGGCTGATCTGGTCAGTTTGATTTACCTGTATATAAATAAATTTAGTACTAAATGAACCTTTGTATCATACGGATGAATATAGAGCCTTGAGTTTTGGCTAGAGTTGAGAGCCTGGAGTTTTGGCTAGAGATAGAGTCAGTGAGACTATAATTAGACTTTGAGTAGCGTAATATCAGGACCTAGATTTATTACAAAAGTGGTGGCAGCGGTGGGATAACCTAGGACCCCAAATCTAGATGCCTGAGACTCTGAAAGTATTCCGGAAAAAGAGTAAAGTGAAAACTTGGTTTAACAGATTAGCTAGAGAAGTTTTAACAGGAGAGGAATTGCCTGTGAGTGAATCAAGTGTGGCTACAGGAAATACAGTGGCTACCTTTCAAGGATATCCAAGTTTACCCAGTGACGATTCTGGATCGGAAGTAGAGATGGAGGGACAATCTCATCCAGCGATAGATGACATGGCGGAAATAAGGCAGCAGTTTCAGCTGCTCCAAGCCCAGCTGACGGAGACTAAGAATAAATTGGCAGATATTGAGCAGAAAGATATGGACAAATCATTCACCCAGACATGGCAGGAGTCAGCGACACCAGAGACACAGGACTCTATCGGAAGAGTAGTTGCAAGACTAGAACGCCCTAAGGTGGAAGATGCACAAGAAGTTTACGTTTCCTTTCTGAAGGCAGCAGGCAGAGGAGATAGAATGACGTTACGAGATCTGAGCAGGGCCGAAGCTGAAATAAGAAGAGACTGTTGGATTTTAGATGTAGAGCCCCAACATATGATGGTAACCCTAGTAAGGTGTTTGACTGGTGTGGCGAATTAGAGAAGCATCTGTCAAGATTTGAGTGTGAAACGATCCCTAATGATGCCATAAAAAAGATGCTGATAGACTGTATTCTTGATCATTATTGATCACAATTAACCCACAAAATCTTTAAGTAGGAAATATTTATAAAACATTTGCTTCAAGGTTGTATAGTTAGGTTATATACTCTGAATGCGCTCCAATGAACTAGAAATGTTGTCTTCATAGCATTGGCGACTCTATGACATAACTGAGTATTAACGGTAGACTAAGTGACAACGTTGCTGGTAAATGGGGGAAGGATTTTTTCTGCTTACATTTTTTTGGAACACCTGGTACATAAATAAGTTTTATAATAGTTTCAATGAAAATTGTTGAATGCCAATAAACCAGCTTTTTAAAAAGGAATATGTACATTTCTGTGATGTTGAGAAACATTGTCTTATGCAGAATATATCTTTATATATATAGGTTTTCCATTAAAAGATAATAACTCTGCTTTCATAATTTAGGCTGTTATGGATAGCTGCTACGGTTTGGGGACTGCTGCAGGGCCATCATTGGGAAGCTTGTTATTCTATACCTTTCGAGGGTTCTTTGCCCCCTTTTTATCCATTGGTATATTTATGATACTCCTTGGCGGGATAATGCTTTCACAAGACTTCACAAACCAAGAGAAAGAATCAAAAAAAGAGTATGTTGTAATTGTTTAAGTTGGAAATTATTAGTTTATTCTTCTTTATCTACGATTGAATATTTCACAGTGAATCCTTGGCATGGACGGAGCTCATAACCTGTCCTGGTGTTGCTGCTATCCTTGCGGTTTTAGTTTTGGCATCCCCTGCAAATAAATGGGTGGCTGCTTCCTTGGAACCACATTTTATTCAACTGGTATGTATGACAGACGAGATTATTATATTGTTGTACTAACACCTACATTTATGATTATTTGGATCTTTCTGAAGAAAGATTAATTTTTCCATCGCATTTTGGCCCTTTTATCATTTTAAAACTTTCATGCTTTTTGTTGGTCTATACATTTATGTTAAGACCTGATTGCTAAAAAGGGCAACTTTTTTCTTACATAGTCATTAAGTTTAGCGCAATTTTTGTACATGTACTTTAGACGTCTCAGACCTTCATTTCTTTTTAAGTTCACTAAATCCATCCTTATTTTTCCAAATATATTCATCTGCTTTGGTCCTTAATACAAAATTAAAAAGATTTTAAAACTGTCAAGATTCAGACAAAAAAATCCAGCACTCCTAAACTCTATAAAGGCTGGGGGCTCTGAATCTATGTACTGCCAGGGGGGGGGGGGAGGTGCGATTGGCGCCCCCCTAGAAAAAGGCCTTAGAGAATAGAACATAGGCAGCCGTAGTACATTTGAATTTCCGGTCCCAGTTTGTACTGCACGCCCGGACATAAGGTAAATAAAGCAGACACTCAATAGGACTAGCTGGTGCAACAAGGTGGACGCGGTAATTTACTTTTACTCAAGGGTCAGAGTTGTATGAGGTATAGGAATGAAATACATGTTCATAGCCCAATTTGGCATGGCCAGCTCAAAGAAAAAAAAATTAGACCGATAACTTTAATAGTGTGGGTGCTAGGGAGGGTGGACAAAAAATGCCAAAAAAAGGGTCAAAAAAATTAAAATTTTTTTTTTAACAAATATCAAAGTGTGACACATGCTTTGCATTTTTCAAGGGCTTTTCAAAAATATAGTTTTTAGATTAGATCTTTAGCTTTAGTCACAAAAAAGTTATGGGCTATTTAAGATTTTTTTCCGCCCTGTACCCTACTCACCCTACCCTATAAATTAAAAAAAACATTTTTAAAAAAATTTCCTTTAAATTACTATTTATTAATAGTCAAAAAATTTCACAGTGATAGTGACAAAAATGGGAGTGCTAGGACAAAAAAAAACCCAGCCTGTTTAGGGTTAAAGCAACTAAAACGCCCTTAAATGGATCAAGTTTTAGTCACAGATGGAACATTTAGGCTGTGACAAGAAATTTAAACAGCCTCCTGGTGCAACCTAATGGCGACATTTTCTGGTTAAAGAAATAAATTTGGATAAATAACATGAGCTGAAAAAAACCCTCAGGCTGAGGCGTCTAGAAGTAGAACTTTGCAAGATTTAGTAAACACATCTCGTATTGTCTATTGTCTGTATTCAGTACGGAATGGCCTCCCTTGATGTTGGACTGGCAATGACTGGAAGCGCAGTTGCTACTGTATTAGCATATCCTCTAGTGGGAATACTCTTGGATCATGACATTTCATCAACATTTATAGTTTTTGCTGGAAATATTTTTACCGTATTTGGTTTGATAGGTATAGGTAAGCAATTTGTATTTGATTCTATAAATAGGCATTTCTACAGGACCTTGTGGGCCTCATGTGAGAATCTTGACTATTTAAATCTAAAAGAAAATGTTTAATTCTGAAATTTTCAGGTTCTCCTTATTACAGTAAGAATCACAAAACTGTGGGAGGAAAACGATTTTTTTTGCAATCCTATGCATATTTGATGTTGCTACAAAGCAAACACTTTTACAAAGCGCTGTGGTTTTTGTTTATTAGACTATTTTTAAGACTTTAAGTCGTCTTTCTGTTCCACAGTTGTATGGTTCTTACTGTATATGAAGTTACACTTCCTATAATTAGTCTAGTGTCTGAGTGCTGAGGCTATCCAGATATGAAATAATAATTTGCCTTTGAATTTTCCCTCCTTACGTTGGATTACGTCGGGATAAGACAGATTCCGGTCCAATTGCTTAGAGCATTACTGGTTCTAGCGCTGATGCCACTTCATGAGTAAACTTAATATAGGATAGTTTTCTGCCAGCAAAATATAAGTCACATGTTTCTGACATTGTTGGGAAATGAAAATCATAAATTTTAAAAAGTCTTCTACCTACATATATAAGATTAAAATTACAGCTAATGTAATTAAGAGAAATGTAACCACAGAACCTAGCGCTGAGCCAAATCTTCTGCAATTTATTACTTTAATTCAGCCACTGCACATTAAAATGAACATTGTCATACTGCATAAACATATTAATAGTACATATTTAAAATAGAATTTTATTGAAGAATAGAATTTATAAAATCTAAATAATCTAATATTGTAATTTTCATCTACCCCAATACTCTAAAAGGACCTTTGCCTGGACTGGAGACTCTTCAAACCTTCCCTATAGCAGTTGTATCACTGATATTAATTGGGTTTGGAATAGCTACTATTAGTCTAGCTTCCTTTTTCAATATTATTGAAAGCTACAACATAGCAGGTCTTCCATTGACTGATATCACAACGGTAAGTTTTATGCAATTTAACCTCTGGAAGGAAAGAATTATTTCCACTGAAATAAGAAACGAGAAAGAAAAATTAGAGCTCTTAATTTTAGTGATATCTAATTATACAAGATTAAAAAGCGGGTTAAGTGGAATTGGATTTTTTTCTTGATATTTTAAAAATAAAGAAGATCATTCATTATAATCTTTATCAGAGTAAGATAACCAGTCTTTGGCTGCTAAGTAATTATATTGGTGCTTTCCTGTCTTCGCTAGCTGGTGGAGTTTTTTATGATTTGATTGGATTCTCATGGAGTTGTACTGTACTGGCAAGTATTATTGCAGTTTCGGTAAGAGCTTCCAATTATTTTATTAACAAAGGAACTGTGTTTTTGTCACAAATTCTGTTTTATAGTACTTATATCTTTGCAACCCAATATCATAGACCTTTGATATTTCATGGTGTTATTTCTGTTCGATCAAATAGTCTAAGTTTGAAATATCAAAGGTTTTTACCATCAGGTTGCTAATAAATAGGGATTGGACCTTTGTCATATAATTGTCTGGAGGGGATTCACAGCTCATCATAATTATCCCAATTAGCCTAAAGTAAAATAAAGGCTATTAAGTTTTAATTCATAGAAGAGACTGTTTTCATATTTGTTTCTATGCAATAATATTAAATTCAAAAGGTTCATCATCCTGATATCAAAGATTCATATTTGTTATCAATATTTATTTTAAAAATCTATGTTTCAGGCCTTTGGAAGCCTGATAAGTTCAATATTCATCAGAAGAAAATCTGAATCCTATGAAAAACTGTAGTAGATGTACTTTGTGTTCTTTTAAAGTGTATATACTTTATAATTAACCTTCTTACAAACCTAAATATAGTCTATAACATATATAGATACATTGTACAGTGTGCAAACATATACAATCCATAAAATGAACTTATGTACATAAAGTGTGAACATTTGAATGTTTGTTTATAACTTTGTAGTTTTTACTGCATAATAACTAACATTGATTGTTCTGGCAAATAATCAAATTGGTAATGAAAAAATCCTTGTTATGATTTCGATTGTGATAAACTATTACTTTGCACTCTGACTTAATAAACCCAAAGAAAGCAACCTAAATTGTTTGAAAATTAATTCTTTCATTCCTATATGCATTTTTTGATTTTATCTACAACTTTATACATTATATAAATATTAACTGCAATGATACAGCATTTAGTATAGCGGAAGAGCACTTTAATAGAAATTACATAACTATTACTTAATTTAATTGTGTTAAAAAGTAGTTATCGGTTGAGCAAATACCATGGTAATTCTAACATCCATTACACACAACCATTTATCCTAAGATCAATGCATTTTTATGCTATTTTTACCTTCCACATTTACACTGCAATGAAAGGATATCATAATAGGTATATGATTTTTATTTATTACTTTTTATGGTGCTTTTATTAAAGGTCTGCAAAAAGTGTGCAAATAATGTTAAAACTGTTGATAAGAAGCCCATTTTTTTCTGCTAATGATTGAGCTGATCAAGCTTCCACAAGCCTAAATAAAAAAAGACTGATTATTCAATAAACCTCAAAATTGATTTTATCATTTATCTATAGTTAGAAATACACCAATTTAATTGCCATTGAAACCAGCCTCTTGCAACGGTTTAGATTTAATAGTCATATTATAAACATCACTTACCGCAACTGTAATAATGCTTGCTAGTAAAGTACAGCTCCATGAGAATCCAATCAGATCAAATGTAAGTCCACCAGCTATCGAGGATAAGAATGCACCAACATAGTTACCCAGTAACCATAAACTGGTAATCATGCTCTAAGAATAAGTAATTAATTAAGAATCATTAGAATTTCTTTTTAAAGATAAAGGTCAAACGTGACTTTCTTTTCTTTCTTAGAGCTAACGTTTCTGAATGTTATGAAATAATGTAAACTAGGTTTAAAAACTATCAAGTTTAGCCCTCAGTAACTGTGTCAGAATGAAAACAAATCACCCACGGGCCATGCTAGATTTTAATTTTATCTTTATTGTTGCTATAGTAAATCGAAAAGTTTTAAAAACAAATGGAAAATGTTAGTCTTATTTGTGTAATTCATATACTAAAAGCGTAATGCTCTAAAAACGGCATTTTTCTATCACCAAAATTGATTTCAAACTTACAGTTGCTTGCTCAGAGTCAGGAATTTCAGCTCTTTTGGCACATTCCATCATGTTAGAAAAGGTGGCAAGAATGATTGTTGCTATCCCCATCCCAATTAGTACAAGTGAGAAAACTGCCATCGGGATTGTTTGAAGAGCTTGAAGCCCAGGGAAGGGTCCTGTAAAAATTCCGTTTTTGTATGAAAATTATTGTTATTTTTCATTAAAAGAAATGAAAGTTTGCAGTTTTAAACTAATTCTCACCTATTCCTATTAAGCCTAAAACAACAAGTGCATTTCCAACAAAAATTAGGAATATTGATGACAATCCATAATCTAAGAGCACTCCGACTATAGGATGTGTTAGTGCGATAGCAATGGCATTTCCAGTAAGTGCCAATCCAACATCAACAGAGGTCATACCATACTGAACATCGAAAGGTACAAACAACAGATTAGCTGTTCCCTTATTATGCAAGTTTGATACCATTTGTATTACACATATAGTATTTACTATGCATATACAGTAACTTTTTTGCAATTCATCATGAGCAGCCTCAGTTTTTCATAGTTAATTAAAACACAATGGTTAGCTCCTTTTCAGTTATATAGTTTATATACATTATACACTACAAATTCATTACAAGAAATTAAATGTTTAATTAGCATACAAAAAATCTTTGTTAGTTTACCAATTCTATGAAGTGTGGTTCTGAGGATGCAGCCACCCATTTTGTTGCAGGTGAACCAAAAACCAAAACCACAATATTTGCTGATATACCAGGACAGTTGAGAATATCTGTCCACTTTAAAATTTCACTGTAAAATATTATATTAGTTTTAAATATATAGATATATAAAGAGATAGGGAGATTAGAAATATTGATAATCCTACTTGGATTGAGTATCCTGTTCTTCATTCTTTAAGTCTTGTGAAAGCATAAGCCCACCAAGAAGAATCATAATTATACCAATAGATAAGAAGGGTGCAAGAAATCCTTTTGATGCATAGAATAACAAACTTCCTATTGACGGCCCTGCAGCTGTTCCAAAACCAAAGCAGCAATCCAGAAAAGCCTATATTAGGGGTTTTCTTATAATGTTTTTGAGACATTTTGAAAGAACTTACCACAACTTTTCCTCTGTGGTTCTCAGAAAACTGCTTTGTACCTATGATGAAATAACTAATCATGTACTTAAGAATTGAGGCGGAAAGGAATTGAGTCTTTGCCACAAACTCTGATTTTCTTATCCCTATAAATTTGCAACCCAATGTCGTAGACCTTAAGTATTTAAAACCATCAATTTTGTAAGGTAAACTAATCTAAGTTTGCAATATCAAAGATCTACACCATCTGGTTGCAAGGATGTAGGGGTTAAAAATTGAGATTGTGCAAGACTCCATTTTTTTAAATTTAAACTTATCAAGCGATGTTGAAATCTTTTTACGTCGATCCAGATGTTGTAGATGCATGATATTTTCATCATACTTAAAGATTTGACAATGCATTTGAGAAGAGACATTTTTTGTGGATATGTTAAGATTGGATTTAAGTCTCAAAAAATGATATCTATTTATCACTGTTCAAGTCAGATATTCATTTACTGTCAATTTCCAAGGAGGCAATTTTTTTCCAAGGCTATGAATAAAGAGGTTCGAGTCCGGAACTATACAACTTGTGGGCCCAACTGGTACAGCCGGTTTAAAATTAATTTGACAAGAAAATTTAATAATATGTAGATTATTAATGATAGATTTTAAGACCTTTCATAAATATATATAATTTCCTTCCCAAAAAATGATGGATTTTAAGACTTATGATAAATATAAATAATTTCCTTTACCAAAAGCTAAGAAACTGATAAGCATACCAAAAATATCTTGAATTTCACATAGAGTGGGGGGTACCAAATCTGGAAAAATGTGTGCATGCTTTATGCACAAATAAAACACTAGTGGCCGAATTTATAGAATTTGAGCTACGTCACTGAAATACCAACTGCCGATTCAAAGTTAAATATTAAAGAAGGATTTGAATCAGTGATAACAGTTTTAACCAGCGGTAGGCAGTCATTAAAGTCATTAAATTCGGCCCCTGTTTACATGTCATCTCACAATAGAACCCACGTAAAATAAGGTACAAAAAGTATACAAAGAAATTGGTACCTATGGGATATGATGAATTTAATACAACTGCCTCTCCAAATGAGCTTATTGTCCGAAATAAAAGAGATAACCAAAAGAACTCTACAGGCCCGTGAATGTAGTCAAGTAATCTAAAGTTTGAAATGAGTACTAGATCTTGAAACCATATACAGATGTTGCAACGAAAGATATTTGTAAAGATAAGTGGAGAATGGTTTACAAAGCTATTTAAAAGTGTACAGTGGGTATACCTCAAAACGGCTGAACCGATAGGGCCCACGTTTTTTGTGGCAACTAACATGAGCCCAGGAAAGGTTTCTGGCTGGTAAAAATGAAATGATCTTGCCTGGAAAAAATTTCGACTTCAAGGATTTTTGAAAATCTAAGAATTTAAACAAAAACATTCCCAAACATTTGTGTTCATTGAAGTACGATGAAAAATGGTGGCTTAAAAATCAACAGATAAGAGGTAAACTTGTATTGGAAAAGGGGTCAACAACGCGACGCCCAGCAAACGCGCCTGTTCATCAAATTCATGTCGATAATCTAATATAATTATCTAAATCAAGTATTTATTACCCGAACAAAATGTTTCCTGCTCCTCCAACCATTGATCCAAAAGCATACACTTTCTTAGCGCCCCACTTTGAAATCTAAAAAAATGTTATTTTTTAAATTCTTTTCAAATATTTCACCGTAAATTAAATCAGTTGCGAGAAAACTCGAATTTTCTAATACAGACATATTTGCAACCATCATATTAGTCTTTGATATTTCATACTTGCAATAATTGGTTTAGCTGAACTCATAGGTTTATCTACGACATCAGAGCTTAAATTCGAAAAGATAAGCCTCTAGAGTTTAAACTGTAATAGAGATTAATTTAGAACTAAAGCTTCGTGTTAAGTAGGGACTAACTTTCCATATAGTTTGGTTTAATAAAGAATTTGGTGGATTTTCATTAGTTGGAATTTAAAAGAAAATCGGAACAATTCGTTTAAAATGCTCTATATTCGTAACTAGCAAACGATAAAATTACGACCTTGAAAACTTAACATTGAGATTTATTCTTAACAAAAACCAACCAAATTTGATTCTGAAGTTGGTTTTACACTTGGATTTACCGAATTAATTAAAACCCAGGTCTAAGCTTTTAAATTGAAATTAAAAGAATATACTTAGAATCTATGACGATTGTTTTAAAAAAAAGATAATTTTCAAATAACAATTTAAAAAATGTAGAAATACCATTTTTGACTATTGTTTTTTTTTTAATGAAAATGTAATGTTAATGTTCCCGTCGGAATTGGAAGTTATCTATCAAAAATTGTGTTTCCTCATGGTTAGTATATACTGTTACCAATTTACAGCAAAATGGGGTAATTAAGGAGGCAGTAACATATGCGGAACCTAACAAATACAAAATATTTCAGATCTGATTTGATTATAAAATTTCTAAGTAATGAACTGGATGGCTCTGTGCATTTACCCAGAAAAACTATCTTACGAATAGAATTTTTAAAATGTCCAGACATACCTAGTACTACTCCTGTGTTGGACACGATGACTCCTCGTGCAAGAGCCTGAAAATTCAGACAGTTTCATTTATACTTAAATTGGCATTAAAAATAATTAACTTGTTTGCAATCAATCTTGGCTGAAATCAACTCAATTTTGTTGCAATCAATTTAGCTTTGAAATCCAATCACTTGCAATATGTAACACTTTTGAAATCTTGTCTTTAATGATATTTTATACCTCCGAAGGATAAATAGGATTAGCTATTGTATATGATGCTGCTGCCATAAAGTTTCCAGTACACACAGTTAAGAAGTTGAAAATATTTTTATACTTCATTCTATTCTAAACATTTCTTTACAATACTTGTTTCATGCATTCAAACAATTTATAACCCTTCATCATTCAAAATTTATAATAATTTTTTTTATCTACATGGTGCAGAGAACAGTGACATCTGTCTATATAATGTATTTAAAGCAGTGGAGAAGTTGCATATTTGTTTATATAGCTATAAATTGTATAATCAAGTAAACGAACTGAATACTTGTCACAAACTATATCATTATAATCTGTATATCTTTGCAATCTGTTGTTTGATATTACAAACTATATGGATTCTGATAGTAAGTTAGTTGCAATTTGAAATTTCATAGGGTAAATCACCAGGTTGCAAAGATATAGGGATTATAAGATTCTAGTTTGCTTAATCAAGTAAACGAACTGAATACTTGTCACAAACTATATCATTATAATCTGTATATCTTTGCAATCTGATGTTTGATATTACAAACTATATGGATTCTGATAGTAAGTTAGTTGCAATTTGAAATTTCATAGGGTAAATCACCAGGTTGCAAAGATATAGGGATTATAAGATTCTAGTTTGCTTAGTTTCTTAGTTTGGTTGAACATACATTTTTAAAAATCCCTTATTTCAAATCAAAATCTCACATGTGCCATACATATTTGGACTGTCTCTGTTTGTATGTTTTGAACATCAAAGCACTGCACTGAACCAATCTGAAAATCCTACGAAATCTAGAATTGTTATTTTTTATGAAAAAGTGTTGCCTTGAAGTTCTGTTAAAGTTAAACTTAAAAGCTAAAATTATTTCACGAAAGAGGGCGCGAAGCTTAATGGAATCTAGTTCTTTTAAATAACAGAATACATTACCATTCATGTAAACTTCTCATAGAAAACTAATTCCATTTTTCAATGATTGATTAAGTTGTTGCGTGCAGACACATGATCGTCAATTTTCACACCATTGTTGCGCAGTAAAATGTCTTGTGCAATTCAGATAAATATATAAATCAAGACCATATTGAAATTATATGATTTTAATTAGATAAGCTATCACTTAGATTCAGACTTAGTCCCTGTAAGAACCCNCCAACAACAACTTAAAGAGACATTGGACGTTCTGAATCAAGTTAAAGTGATGATATGATATTGCTTTAAAACATTTTAAATACAGTGAATCCAATTTGTTTGAAACGCACAGAAAAAAAAGGAATTCATCAATAAAGATAGATTCATTTTAAAAGATTGTTAAAAAGCAAGAGTATTCTGTTAAATTTTACAATTCTGAAAAACTTTGAAGTCATCTTTTAAAAAAGAATTTTAAAAGAATTTCAAAAACTTTAATTATACCTTTTTTACATTGAATCCTTGGTATTAATTTATAGTGCATTGTATACTGGGAAACTTTGTTTAGGCTGAAAATTGAGTCTCAATTCTGGTAAACTGGAGTGTCCGAATTCAATTTACATCTCATCATGATTGTTCTCATTTGAGATCATACTATTTTATTTCTCTTAGCAGTAAATATACATCATTCATAGATTCAGTCATTTGACGAACAATCCCTTTTTATGACAAATAGAAAATTACAAAAATAATAATGTAAGAAAAAATTATCCGACAATGAAGAACAATCAATTATGGGTTTAAGATAAATGTTGAGACAAATGTTTAGTTGTATAATCTAGGAACATTTTTGACCCTTGCAGTGTTAACGTTATTGGTGTTTTTTAAATTTTACAGTCATCGATTTTGTCATTAAAGGTACTGTTCACTAATTGAAAAAATCTATGATTGTACGTAAACAGAACTTGAAAAATGTTCATAATTTTGAGCTTAAAATTCAAAAGTCGTTTTAGATTTTTCCACGACGATTTTTTCGTTATAAAAAATTAAAAAAACCCGATCTTTTCGTTTTGAAACAAAAAGTTCGCCAAACTGAACACTTAAAATAGTAAACGATAGTTTTAACAACTGTCTCTGTGGCTCCGATGTAAAAGCCTAACATAATCCTAAATTTGTAAAAATATTTTATTTTAAAGACATATAAAAAATTATTGTAAAGGATTTTTTACCGGCTGAATTTGTTCGTTCCGGTCCAAAGCATTATCTTTTGTCACTTTTGTTATTTCGAAATTCGATCTGGCCCATTAAGAGAACTGAGGTATAATGAAGATTAGTTTTGTGACCCATAAATTAGATCTGAAAACTTTGTAATTATGATTTTTCATTTATTTAACTCCAGCAACTAGTTTCCACAGACGGGAGTGGGCTCAACTTATAGTCCTAGGGCTTAAATACTAGTTATAGTCTTAAAATAGGATAATATAGTTAGACAACCAAAGGAATTCTTCTTTTTCTGAGAAAATCATGTATTTTTAAGCTACAAAATATAAATGTTTCAGAAAAGATTATAAAGAATAAATTAATAGTTGTACAATCCTAATAGATTATAATACAATAGATGGCAACGTAGAATTTGTACACTCTCAATACAGTTGTATTCTTACGTCACAAGTGTCAACTCAGTTTTTGTGTCCGACAAAATTATTAATAATAGTGATAATTTTAGAATAAAGCGTTTATGGTGCAATTTTATGTGTCCTTTATTTTCTGTTATTACACTTTTTTTATTTAATCTTTCGTTTTCCTTGTTATATTTGACACTTGTGACGTCGTGTATTATTGGTCCGTTTCCCTGTTAGCCACCTATTTTACTGTACTTAATATATACAATCGAAGAAATAAATAAACAATAAAAAAGAAACAGAATTAAAAAGTTGAGCTTGAATGTAGAATAAATGCTAAAGGGAGAGTGAGGCCGAAACAATCCAGAGCGGTTTTTGTTGACACTGTAGACTCCCATTAATTCAAATCTGTCTCCATTGTGCACCAACATACCGTGAATAATTCAGCAACAAAACTTGGATTCTCAGAGAGAGCATATTAATGAGTTGAATGTAAAAAGGTTCAGCGACGTATTTTGTCAAACGATATTACACAATATTTGCGATTAACAAAGTAGTTCGCAAACGAATTGGATCTTTGCCACAAAGTCAAATTTTCTAACTCTTATATCTGAACAACCTGACATCGGGTTGCAATACTTTAAAAATCTATCTGTGTGTGGGGGGGGGGGCACACTCACAACTTAAAAAGCATTTGTTTGAGTACAATTTTTTTAATTCAACGAAAAGCTCATTTATGTCGTTTTTGGCCTAAACCTGGGCGTTTTACAATTTTCTAGTCTGAAGAGAATAATGAGAGCGCCTTCTTTTTCCAATGCCAAACTAAATGTCTATTTTGTTGGATTATATTTATATTTAAATATATAAAAAATCCTGTTTTTCCAAAGAATAAAGCACCTAAATGTATTAGTGAACAAACTCGGTCATCACATGATAAGAAATTTGAAGCAAAAAGGTCCATCTATTTTTCAATAAATTATTAAAAATATTTTTGTATTTTTATTATTGTTTTTTTTTGTTGTTCTTGTGTATGATGATATAATGTGCATACTTCAGTCATTGTTTAAACCACCAAAACGTTGTTATTTTAAAGACAGAGAAATCAAACTGTTTTTTTTGTAAAATTTGTATATTGTATGAGTAGAGGACGGCCTGTGTTTAAAAAAATTAGAAGTCTGAATTTTCAAAAAAATAACTGGTTTTAAAAAGCCACCCCCCCCCCTCATACTATTTAGTTTACATAGATATACAGAAAAAAAGAATCAGGCCACCAAACGACAGTAAATATACTGTATGTAATTTTGAGTTGTAAATATTTTTTTACGTATTCCTACAAAGACGACATTTATCTCCGCTGAATCTTGGAATTCATATCAACTAGTTAGAGGACATGTCGTATTTCTTTTTACATTTGACACTTGTGACGTTGTGCGCAGTTGGTCGAATTTTCTGTTGCCATCTATTGTACAGGGTGTCCCACGAAACATGACAGTTTGTGAATAGTTTTAAATGTCTTGTTCCATATACTGTGTTAATTTATAAAGACTTTTTGCAGTTTATTTTGTTAAAAAAATCTTTTACTCAAATACATTTTAATCTAAAATCATGTTTACAACTATATGACTGCCAAATAATATTTTTTGTTATTCTCTTATATCAAACAGCTTAAGAAATTATGGAAGAAGACATTTTAAACTATTTACCAACTGTCATGTTTCGTGGGACACCCTGTACTTGACAATCTATTTGAATAAAAGTATTATTATCTAATAAATTGGTTAATGATCATACAAATTGTAATTATATCAGATAAATTCTATTATTCTATGCATAACATCTTATTGAAAAGTGAAGACTAGTGCAAATCTGAAATAACCTTAGTACAATTATTATAAATATTTACTAGCTACTGACATACAGTACATTGGATTTAAAAAGTTGCGGTAAGTATCTTTGTACTCATAATAATCAGAATGATTAGATTGTATTTGAATATTGTACAGGGTGTCCCACATCAAATTAGACCGCTTCAATGGGTCTAAACTACGATTTGGGGGACAAATCAGAAAATTTAAGAAGAATGAATCCTTTTGAAAAATTTAATAAGTCTAATAGAACAATTATTTGTGGAAATTGCTGGATTATTTCGAGTATTATGTGCATATTTTGGCGTTAAAGATTGGAGATAATCTAATATGATATGGGACGCTCTGTATCTTCAAAACCTTAGACTACACAGACATCTCCTTTTACAGGGTGGGCTATGTAGGCCTAAGTTGACCCAGCACGACATGCTACATTTTTACGATAGGGTTTTAGAGTGCCATCTCACGGCCACTTGCTGAACATAATACCCATTCACAACTTTCAAAGAAATACTCCAATTTTAAACGTGAAACACAACATTTATGAATTCAGTCTTTTTTTTTACAAGATTTTGTGTTTCGTATCCAAAGGATCCTTAAATATCCCTTAATATAGATGTTTCCTGATTGGTCGCGTACAGCACGTGTACACAATAGAACATGCTGTGGAAAATATCGCATATTTTAGCTGATATTCGATCTCAGTAACTCTCTTATCTCTGCTACAAACTCACCCTGTAACAATAATTGTATACTTATAACCTGTACCATCTCAGGGGTTCTAGTATTTCTGTAACGGCATTTACCATATTTTTTAAAAATTACCGTTAGTTAACGATCTCAATTTTATTTACGAAGTTAACGGAAAATTTCTAATTGTTAATAACAATTGTTAAAAGCTTCAGTCGTTAACGGTCTATCACATTATTAACGGCGCGAAGTGCCAAAAATCGTTAACGGTTAAAAAATCGTAACAGCTCGCAGTTGTTAACGGTCTACTGATCAGTATTAACGGCGTCAAGCACCGAAAAAAAATCGATAACGGTTATATAATTGTTAACGGTGCTATCATAACGGTCTTTTGTAGTATTAACGGCGTTAGCGGTTTGTAAAATCGTTAACGGCAATAGCAGTTGAACTATATTTATCCTTTTCTGCGGACTGAGTAGTAAAGGGTGTCCCAATAAACATGGGAATTCAGTGACGAATTCGATGTCGTCTTTTTAAATAATTCTTTGATTTAGTATAGTGATACTTACTGAGAATGTAATCTGTAAGAGTTTCTTCTGCTATGTTCACATTTTGTTTGTTTATGTTTTGACTGCATACGATTGTATTTAGTAAAACAAGAAAATTGCAGTATATACAAACAGAGTAAACTTGTCCGTCTTCACTGTTCATCATGCGGAGACATTATAGACACATCTTTGCAGTCTTTTACCCTTTTCATAAAATAAACTCTAGCAGACATAATAATATTATGGCTATTGAAATTAGGTATTACAATGATAATTCATAACAAAGACGATATCAAATTCGTCACTGAATTCCTATGTTTTTTGGACACCCTGTATATAGATGTCCAAATCAACTATATTTATCCTTTTCTGAGGAGAACCCAGATTCTTTTACGGCTGGAAAAACTCCAAATTTTTATCAAGATTCAAATTTCGAAACTCAGAAGACGACATTTAAAAACATCAAAACAGGTAAAATATTTTTACACATGTAATGCAATATTAAGCAGAAAAAGCTAAATTTAACGTTTTCAAATAGAAATCCGTTCCTTTTTCGTTTTAAACTGTTATTTTTTTTCAAAAGCGGATAATCCATTTAGTTAACGGTTTAAAATGAACGGTTTTTGCCGTTCGTTAACGGACTTTTCCGTTAATTTTCGAAAACTTCCGTTCTGTTAACGGAACTTTTACCAGCCCTACATTTAATGTAAAACTTGAGTTGAATGGATGTGTAATATTTAATGTAAAACTTGAGTTGAATGCATGTGTAATATTTAATCTAAAACTTGAGTTGAATGTATGTGTAATATTTAATGTAAAACTTGAGGTTGAATGTATGTGTAATATTTAATGTAAAACTTGAGTTGAAGGTATTTGTAACAATATTTAATGTAAAACTTGAGTTGAAGGTATTTGTAACATTTAGTGTAAAACCTGAGGTTGAATGTATGTGTAATATTTAATGTAAAACTTGAGGTAAATGTTTGTGTAACATTTAATGTAAAACTTGAGTTGAATGTATGTGTGATATTTAATGTAAAACTTGAGTTGAAGGTATGTGAAACATTTAATGTAAAACTAGAGGTTGAATGTATGTGCAATATTTAATGTAAAACTCGAGTTGAATGTATGTGCAATATTTAATGTAAAACTTGAGTTGAATGTATGTGCAACATTTAATGTAAAACTTGAGTTGAATGAATGTGTAATATTTAATGTAAAACTTGAGTTAAAGGTATGTGTAACATTTAATGTAAAACTTGAGTTGAATTTATTGTGTAATATTTAATGTAAAACTTGAGTTGAATGTATGTGTAATATTTAATGTAAAACTTGAGTTGAATTTAGTGTAATATTTAATGTAAACTTGAGTTAAATGTATGTGTAATATGAATGCTATATACTTTGGAGAAAACAACCCAGCGGGAGCGGTTGAACCAGCGGTTGAGATCTAGCATAGACTCTACGCAATTCAGAATAATTTGTTCGCACTTTTTCAACAAATGAAATATAATTTTTCATGAATAACGTTTTCTGATTTTTTAGCAACTTTTTTGCTTTCAACTGCTGGTTTTCAGATTTTTCAGCAACTTTTTGCTTTAAACCACTGTTTTAAAGATTTTTCAGCAATTTTTTTGCTTTCAACTGTTTTCAGATATTTCAGCAACTTTTTTGATTTCAACCGCTGTTTTTCAGATTTTTCAGCAACTTTTTTGCTTGTAACCGCCGGTTTTCAGATCTTTCAGAATTTTTTTACTTTCAACCGCTGGTTTAAAGATTTTTCAGCAACTTTTTGCTGACAACCGTTTCAGATATTTCAACAACTTTTTGCTGACATCTGTTTTCAGATATTTCAACAACTTTTTTGCTTTTAACCGCTGGTTTAAAGATTTTTAGCAACTTTTTAACTTTCAACCGCTGATTTTAAGATTTTTCAGCAACTTTTTTGCTTTCAACTGCTGGTTTAAAGAATTTTCAGCAACTTTTTTGCTTGTAACCGCCGGTTTTCAGATTTTTCAGAACTTTTTTACTTTCAACCACTGGTTTAAAGATATTTCAGCAACTTTTTTGCTTTCAGCCGCTGGTTTAATGATTTTTTTTGCACTTTTTAACTTTCAACCACTAATTTTAAGATTTTTCAGCAATTTTTTTGCTTGCAACCGCCAGTTTACAGATTTTTCAGAACTTTTTTACTTTCAACCGCTGGTTTAAAGATTTTTCAGCAACATTTTGCTTACAACCGTTTTCAGATATTTTAGCAACTTTTTTGCTTGCAACCGCTGTTTTTCAGATTTTTCAGCAACTTTTTTACTTACAACCGTTTTCAGATATTTCAACAACTTTTTTTGCTTTCAACCACTGGTTTAAATATTTTTCAGCAACTTTTTAACTTTCGATAGCTGATTTAAAGATTTTTCAGCAACTTTTTTACAGCGGTTGAAATCAGAAAAAGTTGCTGAAAAATCTTTAAATCAGCGGTTGAAAGTTAAAAAGTTGCTGAAAAAAAAAATTGCTGAAAAATCTTTAAATCATTGGCTGAAAGTTAAAAAGTTGCTGGAAAAAAATTTGCTGAAAAATTTTTAAACCAGCGGTTGAAAGCAAAAAAGTTGCTGAAAAATCTTTAAATCAGCGATTGAAAGTTAAAAAGTTGCTGAACAATCGGAAAAACAGCGGTTGAAAGCAAAAAGTTGCTGAAATATTGGAAAACGGTTGTAAGCAAAAGGTTGCTGAAAAATCTTTAAACCAGCGGTTGAAAGCAAAAAAGTTCTGAAAAATCTGAAAACCAGCGGTTGAAATCAAAAAAGTTAGCGGCTGAACAAATTTTAAATTTGAGCAAAAAAGATGCATTTCTTATTCTGAACTGCGTAGAGTCTAGGCTATATCTCAACCGCTGGTTCAACCGCTCCCGCTGAGTTTTTTTCTCCAAAGTATATATCATTCGTGTAATATTTAATGTAAAACTTGAGTTGAAGGTATGTGTAACATTTAATGTAAAACTTGAGTTGAAGGTACGTGTAATATTTGTTACACAATAATAAATAACCCATTATGTGTGTCTTGATAAAGGGAAATATTTTGAGTGAAAGGGATTAATATTTCTTCCTGATATAGTAACAATGTTTATTCCTTTAAACTTCAGTAAACAGAAATTGATAAATTGTCTAAATTAAATTTATCAACCTTCCCGTCATAATAGTCGAATAATACACATTGTACTTTACAATGTAAAATTCGCAAACAATATTTTACGATCCATTTATTAACAGTTCAGTAATTTTGAAAATTCAAACCTTTGCAATTCAGTTTAGGACCCTCTTCAGAAATTTGTCCAAGGAGGAGTTGAAGACATTTATTTAACTTTCCATACAAACCCACTGGGAATAATGGTGTTTGTTGTCACGCCATTCTATTTCAATCTATAAGTAGCATGGAACTTATTGAAATGAAACCATTATAAGCACAGACCAAATATGTTCACCGATTTTCAAACTCATTTTAAAATTAGTTCTCATAAATACCCCCACCCCCCACCATTTTAAATAAGATGGTTTTAAATTTTACTTTTTAAATTTTGGTTAAATGTTTAAAAATTAAATTTTCAAACAGGCTGGGATTTATAGATGGTTGAAAGTTATATTTGATTTAAATTGATTCATTTATTCAAAAAAAAATTATTTATTTGATCTAATTCTTTTTAAAACTGTTGTTTGGCAAAATGAAAGGGGAAAGTGTGGAATATATTTACAAAAGCAGGTGAACAGTTCAAACTTCATTAGTCTTTTCTGAGGGCCTGAGTTGAGTTCTACTGAAAGTATCAAAACTCCATGTGAATTTAAACTTGAAAGCTTAAGGTAAGTGTTTCATAATTCAACTTTGTGATTTAGGACGTTCCAAATTTTTCTAGAATATGGAGATAGTTCTCTTGATAGTGCTCGTCTTACAACCATGTCTTGGACAGAACTGGATGTGGGAACGAGGTAATGAAACTCCTGATTCTTCTGATAATTCTGAAATTGTTGATGATACGCTTTTTAATACTGAAACCGTGGACAATAAACTTGCAGAACGATCAAGAGAAAATGATAGCCGACTATTCTTTGTATTTTCCAAACCATTTTCCCCCTTTATTCCTCTACCACCTGTTTACCAGAATCAACATCACCAAGGGCATCATCATGGACGCCCCCAACAAGTCCTGTACCCACAGCATAATAAACCTTGCCCAGGAGTTATAATTTCAATATTGACTGGACAAAATTGTATGAATTCAGGATTTAATCCAGGGGGACCCCAGCCTACCGGCCCTTCTCTTGTAATAATTCCAAATAATCCTACAGGAGCAGTCCCAACTACCACTACTGCAACAACAACGACTACTACGACAGCATCAACAACTATTCATTACAATATTGGACCCATCATAGCACCAGCTTCTGTTTCGAACTGCACCTGCGTTGAATCCTATCGATGTGATGCTGCTGATATTCATCAATTTGGAAACGGAATGATAGACCCACGCAGGCTCTGTATATCTGGAGATGTATGCTGCACCAGACCAAAACCAGCTTCAACAGTTGCTCCAACTACCACAGTCAAACCTACATCCGCTCCTCTTACTGGTTGTGGAGTAGCTAACCCAGAGGGTATAGGACTGACAAGAGTAACATCTGACACACTTACAGCATATGGAGAGTTTCCATGGATGACGGCTGTTCTAGAAAATGTGGGTGGAGGAAGACTTTTCATCTGTGGAGGGACTTTAATTCATCCAAGAGCTGTTCTAACTGCAGCTCATTGCCTTCAAAATAAGGTTTATTTGAAATAAACCATCGCATTTCATTTCACATTAATAACATTAATTTGCAGGCTAAAGAAAATATAGTTGTACGACTTGGAGAATGGGATGCAGCCTCAACCAATGAACTTTATCCAACACAGGTATTTGCCAAACCCCACATTATACAGGTATATCCTGAACTCAAACATGTACGATTGACCTATTATCTAAACAGGAAATCACAGCTTCGAAAGTCATCCTTCATCCTGAGTTCTACGCTGGAGCCTTGTTTAACGATGTGGCAGTCATCATTCTTTCCAGTGATGCAGATACATCAAGGTAATGTAAAGCTTGCAGTCAAGCATATAAGCAGTTATTTTTTACATAGCTAGGAAACATGGTGTTAGCAAAAAAAAACTCGATGAAATCATTTTGTCTTCTTGTGTCTGAGGTCAGAACTTTAGTGGGGAGTAGTGTGAATCTTGAACGCTTGATCTCGGTATCCAATGTGTGCCTGTATTTTCTTTTAAAAGTATTGGCTGGATAAACGAAAATAGTTCATAAAAATATGGTAATTTTTAATTTTCAGACCGAATATTAGATTTTCTTGTCTACCTTCTGCAAGTGATCAGTACCACAGAGATAAATGCATCTCTCTTGGTAAGATATTTTTCTTTTCCTTTAAAACGGTGTGCATCTACTGTGCAGTATGCATATAACTAAAAATATACCTTCAAATCAGACAGAAATCTGCTTAAATGACAATAACCATCCTGAACATTATAAAAAAATATGTTTGGACACACGATAACATTAAAAATGAATTATTTTCATTTCAAAATGTTATTAGTGTGACAGAGTGAGATCAACGTTTTAAAAACAACGTTTGTAATCTTCTTCTGAACTCACTAAAACTGTTTTAATAGGGCATATATATTTACCTTATACCTTCTTTTTGTACTTTTGGTCATTCACAATAATTTTAGAAAAAATTCTTTTTGAAAATTATGTTCCCAAGTACTAAATTCATATAAAAGCGAGCAATATGTCAACCACTGCCGCATGTGAAGACAAGGAAATTTTGAAAAATAGTAATGCAGGACAAAGATTCATGGATGCTAGTGTATCTGGCTGCAACCTATAATACCAAACAAACAAGCTTTAAGGTAGAATACTAAAGATAAAGCTGTATTTACAAATTTAGGTTGGGGAAAACAGAATTTTAATGACCCGGGATTTTCAGCAATCCTCAAGAAAGTTTTAGGTAAATTTTTCTAATTTTCGGTTTGTATTTAAAGAAATATTTTAAATTAAAAAAATTTGTATAGTTCCAGTAGTTCAGCACGGAGATTGTCAGACCACCTTACAGGGAACAAGGCTTGGGAAAACATTTAGACTGCATGAAAAGTTTATGTGTGCAGGGAAGGTAACCATATCAATTAATTTATTTTTTTCTGTAAATATTACAGTGATTTTAAGAAATCTGTTGTCCGTTGCCTGCACAACTATATTTATCAAAACCTTCTCTCTCTATTGGACTATTTTTGTCTAATATTGATNGGGTGTTTGATTGAAAGAAATGTTTTCTCTCCTTAAATATATTAACACTTAAATCACTTTAAATATCAATCTTGGATAAAAAAATTTCCGAAAGCATTATTCCTTGATGGTGCTATGATTACTTTTGACAATTGTCATATTTGTAAAACAGACCACGGATGCAAAGTTTTAATTATAGAATGGGGCGGATGCATGTACAGGTGACGGAGGTGGACCTTTAATGTGTCCCCTATCTGATCAACCTAAACGATTTATACAGGTAAGTTTTATTAAGTTTACTTTAATCTTATAGTGATGAATGGTAAGGAAATAGAATGCTGCTCTCATTTTGACATAATCTGCATATACAAACCATATTAAAATCAAACCATGTTCTGACCAATCGAAGTTTAACATTTCATTAGCGATTTATCTCAAAGAGGCTGAAGCACGTTATAGATATTTTGGTTATATTTCTAAGATCCTGAAAAGATGGGGTGGAAATTAAAATTGTATACAGGGTGTCCCACAAAACATGACAGTTGTTGAATAGTTTGGAATGTCTTCTTCCATTTAATATATAGCATATTAAAGACTTTTTGCATTTCATTTCGATAAAAACATCTTTTTCTCCAATATATTTTACTTTGCTATCAATTTTACAATAATATAATTCGCATACAATATTTATTATCATTCTCTTTAATATAAAACAACTTAACTAATTTTTTAAGAAGACATTTTAAACTATTCACCAACTGTCATGTTTCGTCATGTCCTCTGCAGTTTACATCGAAAAAAGATTACACGATTTCCATTACTTTTGAAAACATTTTAGATTAATTAACAATTCGTCCATGTACAACTTAGATAATTGTTTAAAGGTGGGTGTGACTAGCTGGGGAATAGGGTGTGGCACTTCTCCAGGTGTATACTCAGATCTAACCCAACTAGAACCATGGATACAGGTCACTTTTTAAATTATGTCTTTTCTTTTTCACTGTCCTAGATCCTTGCATATTTTTCGACATCTCGAATTATTTATTATCTATCAGGAATAATCCATGAAGAAAAATGCTATAAAGTATGACTCTAGCAAATGACTACAGCAAAAATGCCATAATAAAGCGCTTAACATATAACTTGGATGGTTGGTTTTAAAATGCTTTATATGTGTTTGTTTTCAGACTACTTTGAACAGCAATACCTAGATGGTTAACTTGGAAAAACCAGTGCTCACAGCCACATCGACAATAATCATTTAATAGTTCATATATAACCCGTGTATGTAATTTCGTAATTAACGTTCCGTAAACATAAGAAAATATGTGCGTTGCTGAAGTTTTATGAATGTCATTATTTGTAGCTGTACTAAAATATATAAAGATGGCCATCTTTAAATAGTTTGATGCACATTTTTTTCTATGAAATCTCTAAATAATAGGCTTTTAGGGCGCTTCGCGCCCATTATCTATTTCAATTGTGAACATTTTTTTCTTTGTGTACATTGTAAAACAAAAACAAGAAAACATCGCGGATTTTATTAAAAAAAATCGTGGATTTTCAACATTTAACGAAAATCGAATTTTGTTTTAGGCATTTTTTGACATTTGATAATCTATAAACCTTCCCTAGGGACATGTAAAGTCTTGCACAAAATTTGGGCCCGATCGGTTCAGCCATTTTGAAGTTTTTTGGATATAAACAAACAAACACCCATACAAGCAAAGTATATATAGATATAGTCTTACGCTAAATTCTTATCTGATAGAGATACGTACGCACCAACGAGGTTATAGTGTATAGAGTGATGATGTACGCTAATCCTTTACTAATTGTATATGCCATAAACTATACCGAGAGCGTAGTGCATATTTGTTTATTATAGGGAGAATCTGACTTAACCTATAGCATATCAATATTAGTATACAGATGTGTGTACATCAAAGCTAACGTAGCACACAGGTTAAGAATTATCACCCCCCCCCCCCTGGTACGCACACAATCGGACACGTCATCTGATCGACCATTGTAATTTGGAGAAATAACACACTGCGATTCGAAGGCTGCAAGATCTCACTCTAAATTCCATGAGAATTTTGCCAATTACTTCTTTAAAACTAAAGCTCAAAACAAATGCTTTAACGTTCTGAAATTACATGTCTAGGGCTACATATAATTAAAATTGAGTTAGTGAGGTAAAACCAAAGGCCAAGGCGTTGGGACATTCCAAAGTCAACCCAGTTTTGAAAATTGATGAAACTTTTCATACCAGCCTCATTCTATGTGAGAGCCTTCAGACTATTTTCATAATGTCTTCCTTTATTTTATAATTATTTTTTTTCGAAAAATTGGCAATTGATAAAAAATATTAGATAAGTGTTTTGTTTATCTAGTATCCACATTAATTGTTTTCAAAAGTGTGTCTTGTTGAAGACGACATTTTTTATCTGCTTCAAATTGGTTACTATAAGAAAACAATACATAGTTATGCATCTATATTTTTACTAGCACGCCTTTAAGTGATATCCAGACAGAAATTCGTTTTTAGATCGATCAATTAACTGTTGTTTATTTCTCCCAGTCTCGTTTAAACTCTCTGTCATGTCTAAACAAGAAAAAAATGTTAGCTGTATACAGCAGACGTGATTCCAAGTGACCCTTCATTTAAACAAAGTGAATAAATACTGAAGTGGAACAAACAGAATAAAGACGACTAGTCGGGCAATAAGCTATTTTTTGGTTTGGTAGACTTTCCATATTATTGTTGCGGGACCCTTTTTACAAAGTAAGGACTAGAAAAATTCTGCGATTTTTAATGTCGTCGTCACTTAAAATCACATTTTTAAACCCGGCCTTACAATGCACATTCTGGATCCGAGACATCTGTTTCTTTCTATGCAGCTTCACTTTTTATATCACAAGTCAAGCTATAGGCATTTGTTTTTATTACCAATTATGCATATTACAGGCTTATCACATGTAATATGAAATTGTCAACAGTCATTAAAGCCTTCATACTTCTGTTCTTTAACATATTTTTGTTGATTCAAAGTTCACATAAAATCTAATTGCAAATTTGTAAACAAATGAAGTCAAGTTTATTTAGTACTGTACACTCTGTACAAAAAGATTGTGAGGTCCCCACAATTTTATTATAAAATCTTTGGGACATAAAATGTCGTCATTCAACTATGAGTTTGGTTCACCTTAGTTTTATCTATTAATTCACTTTGCCATGTAAAGAGGGGCATACCCGATTCATATCGATAACATTGAAATTCTTTATCTGATTAACAATACGAAGATAACATAAATTTATCCATTATTTTTTAACCAAAAATGCACAAATTACTTTTGTGGAGAAACCACAAATGAATTAATCAGTTATCAATACAGTCATGGATATCCAATTCAAACGTAATCAAATACAATTCTTAAAAGTACCGTTATGAATCGGACATGCCAACAAAAGGATAAATCAAAATTACGTTTACAGTACACATAATATAAAATAGAAGTAACCCAAGAAATAGAGATCAAATAGTTTGTCAGTTACTGAAAACCAAAATGAGCAAGCTCTAAAGCAAAATCTAACAGAATTTTGCCAATCATTTCTTTTAAATTAAAGGTAAATATAAACAAGAAAACTGTATAAAAAAGCATAAGCAAGTTAGTGAGGTAAAACCAAGACCCAAGTCATTGCAGCACTTTAAAGTCGCGCGGTTTTAAAAATCGGGAGAATAACTCTCATAGTTCATGAAACTAGATACAGGGTTACCCACAAAGGATGAGACTGTAAAGACGACCCACAATTCTAAAACCATGACAATTTTAAGCGTGTTTTTTGGTTTCTGCATTTAATTGAGTATTTTGATGGTTTACTAAATGATCAAGTACAGAAAAAAACCAGTTTGACCTACAAGGAACCCTGAATGCAAGAAAACGGACAAAAAATTTCCGTATAATCGTTTCTGACGTCTCATCCTTTGTGGATAACCCTGTATCTGTGCAATACATCTACAGAACGTCCCATATTATTTTAGATTATCTCTGTAAGCTGTAGCTTCAAAATAAACACGTAATACTCGAAAAACCTTGCTTTTTTCTCAAGAAAATTTTTGTATTAGCCTTATTCAATTTTTCAAAATGATTAACTATTCTTAAATTTTCTGATTAGTCCCAAAAAACGTTATTCAGACCCATTGATGATCTAATATGATGTGGGACACCCTGTATCTGTATATAAATTTACTGGTATCTAAATCTTGATGGATGTAGTAAAAGGTATTTAATAAAAATTGAGTGTAAGGTTTAGGCGTTTGAAATATTTTGGCCATGGAATTAAAGAAACAACAAACCAAACGTCTTGATATGATTTTAATAAACTTCCAGATAATTTTCAAGGTTTTGTTGTAAAAACTAGATATTAACTCAATCACTAACCTCGTAAATCTATTGACGTCAATAAACTCCAAACATTTTGAATTATTATCTCAGCCATCATTATTCCTAAAAATAGAAAAACGAAAACAAAATTTTTGTAATATTTGTTTTTTCCGTGCTTATTTTTTAGAGATTTAAAGCACAACAGTTTAAAAAAGCGATATGAAAAGAAAAAATCATTTTGTATATATAAAAACCTTTTCTCGTTTAATTAAAAATAGAAGCTAAGTATATTTTTTTAAAAATCTTTAATGCTTAGTCTTGAAAATTAACCAAATCATGCTCCTACATTGCGGTGTCAAGTTTTAACATTTAAATTTAAAGACAAGGATCTAAATGATTTAAATGTAGTTATTGTGGAACACGATAGTCGGCCTCTATAAGGGTGCACAGAGACAGTCATGAACGATACTTGGAGTATCAGAAGATGGAAACTGAGGGTATTATTTGCCGTTCTGATAGTCCCTGGGCCTCTCCTCTTCTTATGGTTCCCAAGCCAGATGGATCTTGAAGCCCTTGCAGCCATTACCGCCGTTTGAACAATGTTACCAGCCCAGATTATTATTTTCTTCCAAACATTTGTGATTTCACATACAATTTGAAAGATTGGACAGTTTTTTCACAACTGTACCTAGTGGTGAAGGGTTATAACCAAGTACCCATGAGTGAAGCTGACATCTACAAGACTGCCATAGTAATGCCATTCGGTTTGTTCTAATTCCTCTCTATGCTACAGGGTGTCCCAAAAAACATGGGAATTCAGTGACGAATTCGATATCGTCTTTGTTATGAATTAGCATTGTAATACCTAATTTCAAAAGCCATAATATTATTATGTCTGCTAGAGTTTATTTAATGAAAAGGGTAAAAGACTGTAAAGATGTGTCTATAATGTCTCCGCAAGATGAACAAGGAATACGGACAAGTTTACTCTGTTTGTATACTGTAATTTTCTTGTTTTTCTAAGTACAACTGTATGCAGTCAAAACGTAAACAAACAAAATGTAAACATAGCAGACGAAACTCTTACAGATTACAGCTTTCTCAGTAGGTATCACTATACTAAATCAAAGAATTATTTGTGAAGACGATATCGAATTTGTCACTGAATTCCCATGTTTTTTGGGACACCCTGTATTTGGGTAAAAGAAATGCGACTCAGACGTTTCAACGCCTCATGCATCTAGATGATGTTCTAGTGGTAAGTCAGGATAGAGACCTCCACCTCGAACATCTCCATTTGGTTCTTGACCTCATGGTGCAGAATGGTCTAGTTCACTACAAGATCACTCCTGCAGGGATTAGTCCTCTCCACCGTCATATTGATGCATTACCCCTTTAGCCCCGTCCTCAGGATGTAAGTGGTCTCCAGAGAATTCTGGGAATATTAATTTCTACAGATGTTTCCTTCCTCTCCGCCCCCTCATTGATGCTCAAGCTTTGCTATTAATAAGGTATAATGTTATAATGTAAATGTAAACCTGTCATTCCGATATCCAGTTCTTTTAGTTGTTTTCCAACAGTGCACAGTAAATTTGATAACTGAGAATGATCTAAAAATCGTTGTTACATTAGAAAGAGTAAATCTTATATGTGANTGATTGCTTTACTTGTGGTTGACCTTTGGCTATTTACCTTTGTCCAATTCAAATCCAAATTCTAAAAGAATCATCGATGTTATAGCAATGTCGTCCTTTATCTTTTCTGAATTTACATAGTTGGATGATCTAGGTAAATATTCAATTTTGCCATTTCGTTGGACATCATGAAGTCTGGATCTGAAAAAAATTATTTAAATTACATTTTGGTTTAAAAATCAGATTGCAAACAAAGACATATTTGATTAGAACCTGTTTCCTTGTAATACTAAATAGGACAGTTCTCCAATAACACTTGCTTTCCGTTTTCTCCCTTAATAAAGGTCACTTTAAAGGGGATTGAAAGCAAAAATCATCGTAGAGTTTCCAGCAAACGAAACGTTTCGCAAAATTTCACATTTTATTGTGAAAATTAATGAAGCGAAAAATAAAATTCCGCGAAAGCCATAAATTTGTATAGCTGCAACAATTAATTGATCAAAAAAACTTGTGAAATTCTCTGCTCTAAGAGCTCAACATTTTAAGTTTTGCTATCATATTAACAATTTCTCTTCCTTTACTTTAATAACTGTTTGATAAAGAAAATTCGATTTCTCTCGCTATCTTTCTGAGTTTCTGTCCGTCAAGGTACGTTCACCACAATCCAGCTAGCTTTGACCCACCCAATTTCAAGAAAGAATCTTTCAAATCGACCATGTTTTTTTTGCGAAATTTTCGTGTTTTTTTGGTATAATTTCCTTTTTTGTCGCGAAATTTTTTTTGAAATAATATTTTTTTTTTCGCTGGAAACCCTAGTTTATTGTAAAAAAACACAAATTAAAATTTGATCTTTTTGGCAAAAATATTTTAAAATGTAATATAACAAACTTTAAGCAATGTTATAATTATTTCAGAACAATTTGGCTTCAAGATTTTTGCTTTTTGGAGGAAAATTAACAAAACCTATTTTGTGAAAACTAGGCTAAAATAAAATTGAACTTACTTGTTATTACAGGAGGGGGGCCTGGTAAACAGGGAAATGGACATATCTGGATGGTATTTAGGTTGTTAGCTGCGTTATTGTTGTTTCCGATATTGAAGTTGTTTACATTGTCATTGTTGTCATTGTTGTTGTTGTTGTTGTTGTTGTTGTTATTGTTGGCGTTGTTTACTTAAAAAGGGTGTCTTTGAATTACAGATTACATTCACAACCGTCTTTTCTTCTTATTTTAATAAAAAATAACACTAATAATTTTCCAGTTATTACATTTTAAAAAAAAATTTAAAAACGACGATGTCGATTTAAAGAAATTGAACAGATGACAGTTTTACAATTATTGAAATATACCTAAGTTGGCAGCAACAGAAGCCGCAGAAAGAACAAAATTAACAAAAGTAAATCCACTTATTCCAGAACCACCCTATATAATATTAATGTACTTTTTATCATGCAGTTATTTTATTATACTATACCGCAATATCTAATCTTAATTTGTTCAAAAAACTCCTGCTTCATTATGATATATCTAATGCATATCTTTTTGATGTATGTACACATTATTAATTTTTGAACGGCGTAAAAATCTTTTTCATTTTGACAACATACAAAAGTATTTTCTGAACAACGATAAATTTTTAAATAAAAATGTAACCCCATTGTGTATGTTTTGTATAGTTTTTAAATCCCCATTTACCACTTAATTGTTCTGGTCGGCTGGGTTTTAACATAACCAAAGACTTTGCTAATTATAAAGACAGCTGTATTTTGACGTCATTGGTTATTTTGGTTGTTTGAGAGTCTAACGATCGACATTAAAACCTTAGATATTTAACTCAATTGTGAATGTTTTGAGATGAAAGTTAACTAAAATTAATGATATTAATTTGTATTTTAAAATTTGTTCAATCATTTGTTGGATATGAGGATCGGCTGGTGAATTATAGCTGAATTTGTGATAAAGTTACGCATCTCTTTTGTATTAAAAATAGCCAATAATTGTTAGTGAAAATTTTCAGATGTCGTCAAATATTTTTCCTGAGGTTCTATGGAATGGAATTTTAGGCGATGAAGACGAGAGGGGACCAGAAATTTCAAATATTATAAACGGTAAATAAATATTGTGTAAATGTCGTCTTCTGTTTAATCTTAGGCAAAGAAATGATATCGCATAACTTAATATATTAATCTTACTCTTCAATTAATTTATGGGAATTTTGTTTGAAAAATATCCACCATTAAAGAAAAAACTATCACAGACAGCTTCGTTAAAAATGCGAATTAAAGGACGACCTTTTACTTAGAAGTCTTTTAAAGTTGATTACAGAAGGTTTGAGGCATGAATTATTGGAGGATTTTAAAAAGGTGGATTAAAGAAATACATTGGTGAAAATAAAACTGGGGAATATAAAGACGACTTTTAGATTTTTGACTAAATAGTTCAATGAACATAAAATACCGTAATTGAGCAGTGAACATGGAGATTGTCTAAATTTCGTCTTCAAATTCCGGAGTTTTATGTATATAAATTCAATAAATAATTCTGATAAACTCAGGTTTGTCGGTGCCACTGCCTAGCTAAGTATAACATGTATGATACCCAACTGCCAAGCCAACAAAGAATAGGAGAGTCTGCGTTTGCAATACCAAAAAAAAGTTTGGATGAAGGCTCTTTAAGTGGACCATATGAATTCCTCACGCTGAAAGATCTTAGAGTGTGAAAAAAACTATTACACTGTTAAATAAATATTATGACGTTATATTTTTCAATAATTCATTTAAATCAGGTTGAGAGAGAATTCAATCTTGAATGAAAAATTAATGAGATAATTTATAACTGTTAAAAAGTACAAGGTTACAATTGCATAAAAGATATGAGACATTAATTTTCTTCTTATAAGCACTTCATATACTTCAAACCAAAAGTAAATGTTCTAAGGGACTGACAGATGTAATTTCAAGTTGGCCATTAAAGTTCCTATCAACAACGGTACCATTTAAACATTTATCTGGGTAACAATGAGGGAGATATCGTGGTTATTTCATCTTAAAAAGTGATAAATTCTGTAATTTATATTCATTGTTTTTCCACTAGTCACTGTTATGGACTATTGACAAAAAAATATTTCAAGATAGTAAAAATTAGGTGGATTCCCCTTGTTTTGTTTTTAAATAACTATTTAATACATTACAAAAGACGACATTATAAAATGTCATCAGGGTAAATATATAGTTTTCTGGAGAAGACGACATTAGTTACTATCTTCTGGTACCCGAGAAAATGCGTCAAATTTGCGTCGATTTTCTGATGCGCTATCTTTAATTAGCAAAGTCTTTGAACATAACTATGTATAGTTATTTTGTATTTGACTTTAAATTCCCTTTGAATTTGTTAATTTTCTTAAACATGTTGTGGTCCCCACATGGGATATACAACTGCCTGTGTACCTAGTCAATGGTTAGGTTACGACATTTTGAGTTTAAGTTGGGATTTTAATTTTTATCTTGTTTTTAGTGTCTTTTATATAAAGGTCGTTTATGTCCCTCGCTACGCTTGCGACATACAGAAAAACCCTTAATAACGAATACATCGAAAGAATTCATCAAATATCGTATTCTTCACTTTCTGATAATAGAATGTTGCAGATATTTAGTTTTTTAATTAAATGATTATATGTAACTCTTTAAAACTGCCGCATATTCATGGCTATTCATTCATTTTCGCAAATACTGAAATTTACGTAATATAGTATAAAACTCATTGAAAAATTGTCAAGACGACATTTGATAAACTCTTCCGATGTATTCGTTATTAAGGGTTTCACTGTACGTGACTTGAATAGATCTCAATACCTCTTAAAAAGTAAAAATCTCGCTTCAATCGCAAAATATCCCGCCTCAACTCTACTCTTGATAAGGTACATGAAAAGATAAAATGTGTAAAGATTACCTTACAATTTGGTTCAGCATCATAGCTTTCTAAAATAAAATACTTATTTTTGGCTGAATGCAAGATTGTGCAAACTGCAAACTCATGCTAATGAAAAAGTTCATTAAAACTTGGTTTAATTATGACCAGGGTGTGCAATTTTCTAAAATTGTTTGTCTGACAAGGTTTCGGCTTTAAAATAATTACTAGAGAAAACGGTAGAACATTTTTAATAAGTAAATATATTTTAAGGGTAGGACGGGGAAGACGAATTAAAGAAAGCATTATACTTTATGTACAGTGAAACCCTTAATAAGGAATACATCGAAAGAATTCATCAAATGTCGTATTCTTCACTTTCTGATAATGGAATGTTGCAGATATTTAGTTTTTTTTTAATTAAATGATTATATGGAACTCTTTAAAACTGTTCCCGCATATTCATGGCTATTTATTTATTTTCGCAAATACTGAAATTTACGAAATATAGTTTAAAACTCATTGAAATATTGTCAAGACGACATTTGATAAATTCTTCCGATGTATTCGTTATTAAGGGTTTCACTGTATGATTTATAGAAAGCTAAACTTAAATTGATGAACAAATATAGTTGAGATAAAACAGGAAAGCATAGGGTGAAGATAATAGACGAAAAAATGTTAAAAGTAAAAGAAAATGAATTGAAAGAGGAGAAAGATTATTAAAAAAAAAATGCGGTCCGGTGAAAATGGACCAAAATAGAAAAAAAGTGTGTCTGTGCACTTTGCAGTTGGGGTCTCCGAATAAAAGGGGTCTCCAATAACAAGAGGTCTCCAATATTCTGTTTGTATAATTTGGAAGAAAATATTTATGCTTTCTAAATGTTTTCTGTAAGTTTCATGTTAGGGTTCCTTCTAATAAGTAACATGGTAGGGATGTATATATTGACGGATTGTAGGCAGTAAAAAAGATAGAGAGGAAATTAGAAAAGATGAAATCAATAAAAATATAAATAATACCTGGCATTAAAAATTCCGCTCTGGGGGGACTAATCTTGTTTAGAATTTTCTTTTTTGAATTCTTTTTGTTCAATTTTTTACTATTATACTTGGACTCTTGCTTTGATGCCTTTGCTGTGTGTTGCTTAGACATAGCAAAAAATTCGTGAGGCTGAAGTCCATCAGGGAATGGGTCTTCTTCATCATATTCATCAGTCTCAAAAACAGACAAGACTAGTTTAAAAATCAAGAAATATCTACAAGACTAAATTAACAAACAGTGAAAAAAAAACAATCATAAAATTTAATTCAATGTTTGTTTGCAAAACTTGATTTTACCTTTCTTGAGAAAAGCCAGGAGCCAAGTCTTGGATCCCTAAATGACTCTGATGACCTTAAAATATCCAATTCCATTTTTAAGATTTCTGCAACAATAAGCAGAATACCTGTTAATGCGAATTACTGCAGGTGCTCTTACAGTTAATTAGAATCATATTCAGTATCAATCTGTATCCAGTATACAATGTACACACTTCTGATTTTCTTCTTAATCCTCTCTTTTTGGATAACCCTACTGTATCAAAGTTACATTTGATATTAATTGGACTCATACATAATTACGTTCAATTACAAAGTTAGCTATTTACAAACCGATGCTGATACGCCACTCTGATTGGTTGAATATGCTGATACGCCACTCTGATTGGTTGAATTCTATATATTTTTCGAGACACAAACACGAGATTAGGTCAGTCTCAAGATTAATTAAAGATGATCAACATTGATCTCGATATCCACATATCTAAAGTTACATATAAATTGATAAATAAACTAAATTTTATACCACCTTCACAATACCTGATAAAATATATTTTAATACATGTTTCATTGAATAAAAGTTTATTTGCTTTCATACGTATATATATATATATATATGTCAACATCATTTAATTTACGAAAGTTGATAGTTTACATAAACTAATTAAGAATTCCCCCTTGATGAGAAAGAAGACAAAAAACAAGGACATCATAATAGACGAACTATATATATTTAAAAACTCTTTTTTAAAATTTTTATCTGATTTTGATTAACGTTTAAATTAAGGGATACTTATTAACGTAACAAAATTCGAACTTATTAGCCTCTTATTTTTTCGGAAAACTACAGGGTGTCCCACTAAACATGACAGCTGGTGAATAGTTTTGAATGTCTTCTTCCATAACTGTATTAGATATTGAAGATTTTTTTGTGCAGTTTATTTCGTCAAAAAGTCTTTTACTAAAATATATTTTACTTTGAAATCAGTTTTACTATAATAGGACTGTCATATACTATTTTTTATTAGTCTTTTTACTATCAAACAACTTAAAACTCATGGAAGAAGACATTTCAAACTATTCACCAACTGTCATGTTTCGTGGGACACCCTGTATAACAAATCAAAACATAGAACTAATCCCACGTAGATGAAATATAATTTGAATATCGGTACTAAATCCCGAGTTATCCAATAATTAGTAAAAGATATAATATCGGAATAAGAAACATAGAAAAAATAAAATGTTGTGGAATCATGTAGATAGTACATAGTATATTCAGAACTGAGTAGAGTAGGTTCAGGCCAGGTAGATTAAGAGTATTTTTCTTCTTTAATTACGGTATATTTTCACCTGCACACATGATAAACTGGAACTGTATTTGTAAGTATTAATCTCTGTTTGCCTGTTTGTTTGTATGTTCGATCATAACTCATGACCCCCTTGACCAATTTGATTGGGGTACTCGGTTTAAGAATTTTAAGTTCAGAGGGTTAACTTTCACAGAGAAAGTTTAGTTTCCAGGTAAAGCTGGGTTCCCATTATAAAGTTATACAGAATATACTATGAACTTACAATATCTTTTAATTCCAGATTGTTGTTTTAGAGAATTCAGAAATTCAGAAAAAATATTTCCTTTCGTGTTTTCGAAGAAGATTTTTTTTCTTTCTCTTCTTGTAGGATTTTTTATTTAATACGATCAAAATATCACCGATTAATTAAATGGTCAAATATTCTTGTAAGTTCTATTTATAAAGTTTAATGTTTGGCTTTCCCTCGTTTTGAGCATTAGTTATTAAAGAACTTAGAATATAAGTTCTTGAACAAAGGGAGGTAAAAGGAGTAGGAATTGGAAGGGGAGGGGGGATAGGGTGAGGGCCGAGGGAGTGTTGTGGGAAACAAGATTAACCTTGAGTAGATTTATCTTAACTGCGATCTTACAGAAGCATATTGTCAGACTACAGTCTACTTTTAAAACTCGAACTTTCAATGCTTAAGTATTGAAAAAGTAAAAATTGAAGAAATTCTTTCGATTCTTGTGTGATAGCTTGCTACATTTGGATGCCTGTGTTAAATCTTATAAATTGTCCCCTGTCGTGGAAACTTATTCTGTGTTTTTTTATTTATAATAATTTGTTTTCTTCTAATTTCAAAATCCTTGAAATTCACATAACTATAAATATTTCATATTATTAGATTGGCTGTATTTAAAATAATATTTAATGAGATATTTTTAATCTTCATCTTTGATAAATTATCCAAGCATGGGCGTAAGATAACATTTTACCATTGCAAGATAAAATGCAATCAAAGCTTGGAAATCTGCAAATCATCACTGATAATCCAAAAGAGAACACTTTGATTGTTTGGATAACGCAAATATATTTGATATCACGAGTTAAATATTATTTTGTCATTATATATAAAACAGCTCTTTCTATAGATATCTTTAGCAATATGTTCATAGCAACAGAATTTTGTAATTCTGATTCGGTCTGAATTTAAATTGTAGATAATTAAAACTTAAATGAATAGTTTCACATTTTCATTTAACTAATTTCTTCACTTTTAAAGCTCAATTCCTGAAATATTATAGAGTTGCCTGCATTACTGCAAATTCAAAATAAGAAAACTTGCATTTACAACCTTTTTGGCATTTGTGGCCTTAAGCAGAGTATATGTAACGGTTAACCGTGTTGAAATAGAATTAAAAAGATTTTGCAAAATCGTAGATTGTGTATTTTTTACGGAGTGACGAAATGCAGTAATGCAACAAATGTTAACAATTTTAGAAGGACATTTTAAGGAATCATGGAAGATAGTAGCAGCATATTTCTCCGGAACCGGGCCACCGGAG